CAGACAAGCAGCTGCCCAGGGGTCCCAGCTGAAGCCCTTTCCCTGTAAAGGCAGGAGTCAGGACCTCATTGTGCAGTTACACCCTGAACCTGAACATCTCTTCTGTTTCAAAATTGAGCCAGCATACACACACCTCTGCTTAGGAGCTGGAATCTCCCTGTAGAGTACGCTCACATCACATGCAAACCTTTCTATTTAGAGGAGAAAAAGACCATTCCATATCTAGAACTAAATTTCCTTCCTCTTCTCAGTTAACAATTCATAACTCTTCTGTTGATTTACCTTACTAGCAGGGATGATCACGGAAATGTTAGCTCCCAAAACATGGATTTCTTGTTTGCAGGCATAAGTACCTGCACTAATCTGACGCAGAAAAGAAGACCTAAGATTTTGTGCCCAGCCAAAGCAGTTTGCAGGTGATGCAGAAAAGAAGACCTAAGACAGATTTTGTGCCCAGCCAAAGCAGTTTGCAGTTCAATATTGAATTCTCCTGGTGAGTTGCTAAGCAAGTAAGACACAATTAAAAAGAGTTTCAGACCACAGGAACTTTGAGGAAAACTGCAGTCTGTTTGAGACACAGATCTCAAAAGGGGAAGGAGAAAGAAAGAAAATTCATCAAATTATTCATTACAGACTTAACACTCACCTCAGATTAACAAGAAGCCCATTGTCTGATCCCAAGTGTAACAACAGGCTGTAATTTAAAACAGCTTTTATTCATTAATGAATAGAAAAGTTATTTCAGTGAGAATTTGGAGAAAACCTTTGCCAATTACCAGCATTAAGCAGTCTTTCCTTGTAAACACATGGCTGGTTGGCTGCATGTTGTGACACTAAATACAGTAAGCAAACGAGAGTGGTTTCTGCTACCGATTCAATCAGTAGGTTTGAAATGGAATTAACCTTTTAAAAATGCAAAGTATTCCTTACAGCAGATGGTAATGTTTGCATATACAAATACCTCTTGGAAATCATAATGTAAACCACATGCTCCGAAACAATAGGATTCCTGAGCTGAACCTTTCATCCTCCTGAAAATGAAAAATAACACTCTCCAAGCTCAGCCCGGTGGCTGCTGCAGCAGGACCAGCTCCTGCTTGTGCTGGGGTGAGGTGGGCACAAGAAAAATTAGGGGGAAACAAGAGCGGGGGCCATAGAGGGAAGCAGGGGGATGTTGTGATATACTAAGAGGTGGTATTTCTCTATCATTTGCTGCTACACTCTTGGACATGTATGTATTATGTGTTTGCCTTTATTAGCTCTCCTCTTTAGTGCAGCTCCTTCGTGTTTTAAACTGGAGAAACTAATCCCCCAAATTCTTTATGCTGCTGTGGCTAGACTTGGTCCCTGTGCCAGCTGCTAGGGTGACTCTCCAGAGCATATTATGAGGCTTTATGTTCCTCTGGGCTGCACCAGATACAAGCATTTGCATCTCTTGAAAGCTCCTCAAGTTACCCGTGTTGCCCGAGTGCTGCTCACTATCCCTCATGCTTTCCTATCCTCACACACATTCATTTGTCCACAAAGGCTTAAAAATAAGTGCAAGTGGTCTTAAAGAGAGACAAAGATTGCAGAAGCTGCAGCTTTAGCAAGTACCTGTAAGGAAAGGTTACAGCAGAGCAGGACATCACTGCAAAGCAGAATTACCTCAAAGAGCAAGTCAGTTTTTCCCTCCATACATTCACGTTCTGCCAAGAGCACAATCAGTCTGGCACCGTGGTGAAACAGTAAATGTTAGGGGTAAGTGTCCTGTGGCCCATCCGGATTTGTGGTGCCAGGTCCCCTCAGAGCTATAGGGCAGGTGTGGTTGGTGGTTGGTGAAACAGCTCAGGAACCAGAGGCTCTTTCAGAGAGTGGGCTGCTACTCACCCCCTCCTGTTTTCTGTGTAGTTTGTGCAAGGCTGAGCCCTTCAGCAAAACACAGGGGTGGGCAGTGCTTACCTACGGCTTTGTTCTCACCCACAGCCAGCCTGTCACACACCACTCCTTTGGGGGAAAGGTGGCTTTTCAGTTGGTGCCTCTTGAGATATCAGGGCTTATCTCTGCACAGCGGTGACGCGGAAGCCGCTCTGCGCTCCGTACCTATCAGGATACAAAAGTCTCATCTTGAATTCAGTGGTGTGTTAGCTTGTGTTAGATACCACCTGAAAGAGACAGGAAGGACTTGGGATCACAGAATCACAGAATCTTAGTGGTTGGAAGGGACCTCTGAGATCATCGAGTCCAACCACAAAAAACAAAACAAAAAAACAAATACAAAACACACCACACCAAACGCCCACCAAAAACACCGCACCCACCAACTAAACCCCACACTCAACACCTCACCATAAACCAATAACCTTGGGCACCAGAGCACGCCCTGAAGAGCCATGTCTATACGTTTCTTAAATCCCTCCAGGGATGGTGACTCCACCACCTCCCTGGGCAGGCTGTTCCAGTGCCTGACCACCCTCTCAGTAAAGTAATTATTTCTAATATCTAATCTAAATCTCCCCTGCCGCAACTTCAGACCATTTCCTCTGGTCTTGTCGTTCGTCCTTTGGGAGAAGAGGCCAACACCCGCCTCTCTACACCCTCCTTTCAGGTAGTTGTAGAGGGCAATGAGGTCTCCCCTCAGCCTCCTCTTCTCCAAACTAAACATGCCCAGTTCCCTCAGCCTCTCCTCATAGGACTTGTTCTCCAGGCCCCTCACCAGCTTGGTGGCTCTCCTCTGGACACGCTCCAGCACTTCAATGTCTTTCCTGTAGTGAGGGGCCCAAAACTGAACACAGTACTCGAGGTGAGGCCTCACCAGCGCCCAGTACAGAGGCACGATGACTTCCCTTGTGCAGTGCATCATCCTGACTGCTCTAAAGAACATATCTGGGATAACAATGCTCATCTGTCACTGCCCTCTGCCCAGTGTCACATGCGGGACAACAGCACCACCAGTAATAACACCAAGCTGCTCCAGAACACCAGTGCAGCTTAGCTGACCTGCCTCAGAAGGTATCCCAAAACACATCCTTCCCCTGCTGTCTTCTGTCCCTCCCTTCCTTCTTGAAGTTACCAAAATCAGCAATAAATGAGAACAGACAGAGCTGACGCTTTTCAAGACAACATGCTGTTCGTTAGGCTGGGTCAATAAAAACCATCTCACTGCACAGAGGTATAACTCAGAACAAGTTCCGAGCAACTTCAAAGCGGCAAAGTTGTAATGAAACCTGCATCTAATGAAAGCAAGCCTTGAGAGCAGCAGTCTACTGTAACGTACAAAGAAATTCCTTTTGTTAACATTAATATTTGGCGGCCGGTGTAGAACACATTAGGGCATTTTAGTTGGGCTTTAAAGAAAGAAATTGACACAGAAAGAAGGCAGTGATTTTTTTTTTTTTTTTTAATAGAGGATCTCTCTGGGGGTTTGTGTTCATATCACAAACATTCACTTTATTACATTTTATGGAATGGGCTTTAAATGCCAGTATATACAAGCCAACATTTCATTATTGGAGTTTGTGTTTATTTGCTTGCCATTGTCAGGCCGTTCCCCTTTGTCTTCTTGTGCTGCTCTTTGTAAAAGCTGTGATTTATGAATATGTGGTTTAGATCTATCACAATATAGCGTGGTAAAGTGGTTCGATAAAAAGTTATTAAAGTAAAAAGAAAAAAATCTATAGTTTCGCATGCTTTGCCCACCTCCTGTAGGAAGCCCCAGTAGGAGACACTTCTACTGAGCAAACACTGTGTGCGTGAGGCTGGTGTTACAGACCTCACTGAGCCAAAACTCCTGCTGAATGGTACCCACTGCAGGCAGTTACAGTTTTGCCCACGTAACTGCAGGATTACACCCTTAAGGTATGAAAGTTGCATAGACCAAAAAGAGGGGGGAAAAACCTGCCATACAACATTAATTTTAAAAGCAGAAAATTAAGGACTTCCAGTAGCCTTAAGGTACATAGTACCAAATGGCATTTGTTTCTCAAATGTAAGTGTGTGCGCCACATATTTAGTTCATTTTTAAAGCAAAGCTCTGTCCTGCTGATGGCAGGATAAACAAAGCTGACCTGCAGTTTCCAGAGCCCACTTAGAACCGCAATTTGTACAGGAACGTAGTAGTTTTTCAGCCTAAAATAGAGAGCAAAAGGCTGATTTAGACCATCATACCTCAGCCCCCACATGGGCTGTTCACCCAGCAGCGCTGCTGACTGGCCACAGCTGCACAGCCACACACAAGAGGGGATGACAAATCTGCCACTCTTGCATCTGGCTGGCAAGAAACAAAAGCTGCTTGTAGCAGTGAAAGCTGAAGGAGGCACTCTGCAGGGTGAGAAATAATTTGTGAGGAAGATGTGTAAGGTGGTAGGATCTGTTCAACTGCAGCACAACAGGAATCACAGAATCACAGAATCTTCTAGGTTGGAAGGGACCTTAAAGATCATCTTGTCCAACCGTCAACCTAACTGACAAAAATAGACACCCACACAACAAACAAGGAGCATCATCACTAAACCAGACCTCCCAGCACTACATCAACCCGTCTTTTGAACACCTCCAGGGATGGGGCCTCAACCACCTCCCTGGGCAGCCCATAAGAGGAAGGAAGAGTCTAAGAGATGGGTTACAAAACAATTTTGCTGCCTATATTTTCTGTTCCCAAATCTCTGAAAAAACCCCACAGCTCTACAAATGAAAAGCCCTGTCTGTCTCGGGGATGGGTAACTCCAGCCAGTGAGGATTGCTTCGGTGAGTCTGACAGGTATGGAAGGCAGGCTGCGCTGATGGCAGCAGCACCAAAATCACCAGCCTGGCACCCCCGGCGCCGGGGAGCACCGTTCCCAGGATCCGTTCCTCTCCGTGCATGGCACAGTGCTGCCACCGGGTCCTCCCCCTTGAACAGAGGGGCTATTGAGCCAGCAATCACAGCCCCTCTGTCACTGCTGTCTCCGGCAAACAATGAATAACAGTGACAATCCTACAGCCTCTTGGAAATCTAAACGAGAAGCTTCCAACCTGCTTGATAAAACCTGGATCATTTTGCCACCCGTTGTGCTCTGCGGCTGCCACCTGCAGTCCTGCACCCCCATCTCCGGCCAGGAGGGAGGCTGGATGCTGGGATGAGAAGCAGGTACGAGCACAGGAGCCCAGCACAGCCACTCAGCTGAACAAGAGGTTGTCCAGAGTCAATGTTGCTCGTGCTGAAGTACCGGGAAGGCTTTACATCTTGTGTATCTCACCACTCCTCTGCTCTGTGCCCCAGGGAACACAACAGAGCCTTCTGTCCATGTTGGATTCACCGTGGTTAGATACCTAGATGCTCATTGGCATGGTTCCTCTCTTCTTGAAGTAGAAGAATGAAGCAACTCTTTTCTACTAAAAATATAGGTAATAAGCCCAATAGAACACATTGACCAGCATGAAAAACAAAGGGAAAAGCAGTTTGGAGTAGTGGTCTACATTGCTGGGGTTCTGAATTGTGAAATAACCAATAATCCTGTGCATTTTGTTTCTCAAGACACATTTGATTTTCTCATGAGTTTTCATGGTCAAGCCACTGCAGTTAACGTTATCGCTGGAAATCTCGATGCTTGTAAAGCTGATTTTCCGCTTATAGCTGGTGATGGAGCTGTTGAGGATGTTGGTGATGTTGACTTCTTCCATTTCTTTAGTAAGTTCATTTGCAGGCCCCTAGGAAACAAGCGTGCAGTTAGTTTTAGGGTTTGTCTTCTCCTGCAGAGGAAAAGTGCTTTAATCAAAGAGGAGACAGTAAAGATAAAAGAACACAGCTTCATACGTGTTCATCAAAAACCCCAACAGTCCAACAGGCCTATCAGCTGCTGCCTGTTTTTAGCAGTGCCTGAAGTCCCAGAGGTGCCTGTGCTCACCATTGTACTTCTGGGGGTATTTTCAGATCTTTGAGTGAGTATCACTCTGTGTCACTGAGCAATCCAACATCCATCTCCTACAGGACACCCATCTCTCATGTCTACACAGTAACTCAATGGCAGGGGAGCTCAGCAGTGATGTGGGAAACCTCTTTTCCCTCTGACAGGATTTGGGCTCTCAGTGACCACTGGACTATCATCAAACTTGACTATTTAATTTCTCCCACTAAAGCAGAGCACTTAGAACAATTCACGCTCTCTCACAACTCCCACAGAACATTGTGGGACTGATGTTTTCTGGGAAGGGAGGAAGAAGGGTTCAGCTTTCCCCTGGTAGAGGAAATTACCCTCCAGATCAGTGTCCCACTCAGAGTTATTCCATAGAAGAGCAAAGAGGTGAGTTACACTGGCTCTTCTTTGCCTGCATTTGGAAGGGAGCAGAGGTGCTTCGTGCTCACACATGAGCTCAGCTCCAGGCAACAGACCCAAATTCTAGCAATAGGCCAAAGTGCCTTCCTGAGCGTGGTCCTGTGAACCCAACATGACTCTCAGCTAAGGCTGCTGCTCCTTGGGCTGGTGTGCAGGCGTCTGTGCCACAGCCCCAGAGGTCTGCTGCTCTCCATGCATTTGTTGCACACACAAATTTACTGAAATTTATTCACTGAAATTTCACTGAATTTCTAGAGTTGGAAGGGACCATAGAGATCATCTAGTCCAACTCCCCTGCTGAAGCAGGATTGCCCAGAGCTAGAGCATGTTACTCAGGAGCATCCAGGCGGGTCTTGAAAATCTCCAGAGAAGGGGACTCCACACCCTCCCTGGGCAGCCTGTTCCAGGGCTCTGGCACCCTCACTGTGAAGAAGTTTCTCCTCATATTTGAGTGGAACCTCTTATGTTCCAACTTGTGCCCGTTGCCCCTCGTCCTCTCAGTAGGAACCACTGAAAAGAGTCTGGCTCCCTCCTCCTTCAACCCACCCTTGAGATACTTGTAGGCGTTGATGAGGTCTCCCCTCAGCCTTCTCTTCTCCAGACTAAAGAGTCCGAGCTCTCTCAGTCTCTCCTCATAAGGGAGATGCTCCAATCCTTGAATCATCTTTAGATTTAATAACAATTAGGAGAAGCAACTGTTACTGTATCCATAACAGAAAGACTGTTTGTCTTATTCAGTCAATGGAGGACTAGCTACTGTCAGTCCAAGCTATCCAGGCTTATTCAGGTAGATGAGGCTTTACCTCTTGAGGTGCTTTGGCCGCGCACTTCTGAGATGAGCTGTAGTGAGCCACTGCGTATTCCACAAGGGCACCAAAGATGAAGCTGAAGCAGATGCCGAGGTACACATCAATGGCCTTAATGAAACAGTTAGTTTTTGAAAGTGAACTTCGTGAGCCAATCATCAGAGTTGTCATGGAAAGCACCGTCGTGACTCCTGGGAAAGCAGAAAAGGAAAGATCTTCTCTAGTGGAGGCTTTGCAAAAGGCCTCCTGCACGTGTTGTCACTCTGCTGCTATCCCTTCTTACCAAATCATCCATCACCTGACACGCTGTTGCAGCACTAGCTACTAGCTTCACACAGGCTCTCCCTGCCTTTGACAGCTTGGCTTTAAGAGCACTTGGCTCCTTTATTTTTCTTGCTTTCAGTAAAAAAGCACATCACAAACAACTTGTGCTGTGCCCTCTGCTGTGAATCTACTGGGAGGCTTGGCCTTACACTGCTCTGCGGGTGTAATTGTGCCAGCCCCAGCGTGTCCTCCACACTTCACACTGCTAACCCAGCCCTGCCACAAGGAGAAGCACAACGGGAGCAGCCCAGTTATCACTAGAGAGCTCAAAAAACCACCCTCTACACAGCCCTCAGGGGCTCCTCTCCCTGCTTAAATCTCCTCCCAAATAACTCACCAATGCAGGTTCTTGCAGGCACTGAATCCAAGGTGATCCAAAAAGAAACCCAGGACAACATGACGAGCAGAGTGGAGGGCACATAGGTCTCTAAAATGAAGTAAAGGACGTTTCTTCTCAGCTCAAACTGCAGTATCAGCCGTGGGTAACTGCCTGCTCAGGAGAGGAAGAAACCACAGTGAATGTGAGTTTCCCAAGGACCCTTGAACTGGGGGACCCAGCACAGATGGCCCAGCTGAGCAGAGCTGTGCTGCAGCGGTGGGAGAGGTGTGACTTGTACAGGCCTGACCCCACAGAGCTCTTGGAGGACACGCTCACACACACCATTGCTGGGCAGGAGACATCTAAAGGCAAAGGGGCTCCTGAACTGAATCAGCAGTGGAAATCTTTTATACTGGTGTCTTAACTCAGCTCATCTCACGTGCCCCAGGGTGGAGGACACACTCACACAGACCATTGCTGGGCAGGAGACATCTAAAGGCAAAGGGGCTCCTGAACTGAATCAGCAGTGGAAATCTTTTATACTGGTGTCTTAACTCAGAGTAGAGAAGGGCTGATGCTTTCATCTACTGTCTCACACTCAGCACAGCACGTTTCTCCAAATAACCCCTTTGAAGGGGCTTTGCCAAGTTCGGTCTTATCTGATGGCTGAGAAATAAACAAAAGATTTTTCTCTCAATTTCAGCAGGCTCTGGCTCACGTCCCAAAGTATCCCAGTATCTTATCATCACAGGGAATTACACCCCCTGTATTCGTTAGTAATTTGTGATCTTTGATAACTGTATCTTTCTGTGCTCAAAAAAAAAAAAAAAAAAAAAATCATTAGTAATTTGTGATCTTGGATAACTGTATCTTTCTGTGCTCCAAAAAAAAAAAATTAGTCAATTTTTAAAAAACAGTTTGTTATAATGCTGACAGAAGGGTTCTGGGGCTGGATTGCGAGTGTTTTTGGGAGATACATTGGCTTTTTAAACAACAGTTCCCTTTGAAACGCAGAAACAAAAGCCATGTTGTCTGTGGGCTATGTGCACCACAGTAAACAACAAAACATTGTTATTTTTAAAAGCTGGTCATTCTAAGGAAGTTTTGCCCCCTTTCATAGCATCTGTGATTGGAGAGAAGAGTATTTACACTGATAATGAAACAGGCACTGAATCCTGACATACAGAAGGGTCTTATTTCATGATAACGTGGTAGAATTGTAATTTACAAGCAAAAGTATATTTTAAAAGTTAATTTTAAACCCAGTTACTGTAAACATGGCTCTTTGTAGTATTTGTAGCCTGCACAACTGGGAGGAAGGGAGAGAGTTTATTCAGGCATGTGCAGAAAAGAAGTGGAGAACTTAAAAAAAATAACTGAAAATTCATCAGGTGAATATGGCTTACTAAAAACTCCACTTTTCTATAGATTCCCATCTTACAGAATACCCTGATTGTAATTAGTTGGATTTCAGCATCTTTCTGTCTATCTCTTTTTGTAACATTAAGATTTGCTAAATCTTCACTGGTTCAGGCTGAAGTCAGAAAACACCAGCCCATAGAAGGGAAGGGAGGTGGGAGGGGAAACACTTGAGATCTTTCCTCTGTCCCTGATTTACCTGTTTCCTGCTGTGACTTGGAGACCAGGGTGTAGTAACGTTCCACTGTGTACTGAGAGAGACGCAGCTTCTCTATGCCATGGACAGAGTCGTTCCCTCTCAGCCATGTGAAGATGACATCGTTTTCATCATATCCCCCTAAAGAGAACATAAAGACCTGTATTTCTGTGGTTTAGCCAGTAAAAGCCCAGCTATTGCCCTGCCCCGTCTCCTGGGTGGGGACAAAAACACGACGAAGCCATTGCAGGCTGGACAAAGACCCTCTAACTCTGTCACACTATGGGTGGACCTTGGCTGTTCTTTCCTTGCTGTCGAGTCTGCTGGTTCAGATTTCAGTAAAAACACACGCCATGGTGAATGATGTGAAGTTGCTCAGACCCATTTCAATTATTTACAAGGGGTATTTCTATTTTAAAATGTTTTAACATTTTAAGAGATAATATATTCCCGTCATCCACAGTTTGATTACATGCAGCAGGACAAAGCTACTGCAGTGATCAACCCTCAAACATAGTCACTTCAGTCATTAGAGGAGAGCAGGAGAAATGCAGTGGTTAAAAGAAGAGGATATAGATCCCATTGAGCCCCTTACCAGGTAGCAGAAGCACTTTTCGCTATTTAAGTGCTTAAAAATATGAGAAAAGGCATTTTCAGTTAGTCCAGAGCTTGGAGCTGAGACTCCAGGATCTTCTGACTATTCACATATTGTCCAGAAAACTTACTTATAAAAGCAGCTTTTCTACAAACCATTCCTCCTGTCCTCAAAGGCTTTAAGTTACTGAGGACAAATAAATACATCTGACACTTCAGTAACACTGAATTCCTGCCTCAGAACGGTTCCAGCAGTGCCCAGTAACCTCCACATACACCAGCTGAGGGATTGCCTCCAGGAACGTAAATGCCGGCATAACGTGACCTCAGGTTGGACTGAGGGATGAAGCTTGTACCGAGCTTTCACTGCCATTCACTTCTAAAACTTCACTTAATTTAAGAAACAAGCCCATCAATCTCACTAATTTGATTCTTTTATTAAGTGCCCTTCGTTGAGAAAATGAGTAAGGCCGCTTTGATTCTGATAATAACCTGTTCGTCCTGGTAGAAGGAATAAGATGCGGTTGCAGCTCCATTTTTATCTAATTGCATTTTCCTATTAGGCACAAATTACCAGAGCTTGAGTGTGATGAACTCCTAAATGAGTTGTCCAGGGTATGAATCCCCGTGTAGAATCCTAAGCACGTGACTTTTCAAAGTTTCTAAGCAGTTTTTACAAATTGTGGTTACTCAGGAAAATTGTATAATAAATGATAGATTGTTGTTAATTCATCTGGCGTGTGTTTAAATAGCATTATTTCTGGGCACTTATCCTAATGAAATCTCCAGTGGGCAATGTGCATGCAATTTCATTGGAATTATGCAGCAACTGAGCATGATGTAGGACCCAATCACTTTTAAAACAGGCCCAAGCAAGCTATGCTTTAGCAGAAGAGGCCAATCGTCGTTATTTCAGAAGCTACTCTTTGTAATAAAGTTAACCACGGTGAACTAATCTGATTTTAATGTGGAAATAATATGTGCTTCCATAGGTGCTTCGTGCTGCAGCCCCTGAAGTTAAAACCTGGTCTTTTCAGCGCTGAGATTTTAGATGTTTCTTTTTGGGACACAACGTGGGAGATGCCTGCTGGCTTCTCGTGGAGCTCCACAGACACAGAGCAGCACCACTGTCTGTAAAAGCCCTGGGGTGTCCCAAGTTTTCCTGCAGACTTTCCCAGCCAGCCTTTCAATTTAACTGAGAGCAGAACTCACTGGTTATTCCCTTTCTCGAGGCTTCCAAGGCCGAGACTCCTCCTGTGGATGGGGGTCCCATCATCACTGTAAGAGACAGCCCTCGTGGAGAAGTAAATACCACCCCGTTGGCTTTGGCCTTAGTTTCTGTTCCTGAGTTTGAGAGACAAGTTCTTTTCACGTTCTAGTAAGAACCACCCTTCACACTGCCTTGTCACAGTGGAGGTTTGGGAGGTGCAACAGGTGGCAGACACCTAAAAATGTGACGAGTTGTTCCTTGCTGTACTTCAGCCCCTGCACTCACCCCACAACTTAGTTTGGAAGAAGCTGTGTGTGCAAAAGCAACCAAATTTGGAAAACCAGCCATTATTATTTCATCCTTTCCGTGCAAAATTGAACTATCTACTCTTAAATAAAAATACAATTAATTACCACTCTTCTTAAATAAATTGCAGAGTGACAGGAATCCTCTAAACCGTGGATTACAACACAAGCACTTGAATAGTGATGAAGCAAAGTTGTTTTCTTTTGGATATCAGTGTTTGCAGGAATAAAAGTCTGCTCCAGAAAGCCACTGTGATGAATCCAAATATTCCAAACACATAGTTACTTAGGAATAAACCAACTTCATGTCAAGTCAGATCTGTTTAGAATGCTGTACTTACAGCTCTCTAGCTGCAGCCTGCACGTCTGTGTGTCCATGGGGTATTTTGACAGGTCCATGTTACAAGCAACAGTTGTGGTGATTCTGTAGGAAGAGAAAGAACTCTGAAAGTTGAGATTAAAGCCTGTAATGAAATATCTCTGTTTTCCACAGCAAACTGGACTGCAAGGACTCTGCTCTGTCATTTAGGTAATTTTGACCTAGGAAATGAATGGACTGATAGCATCAGAGAGAACCCTCCTTAAAAAAAGTACACTCTCTGCAGGCATACTGATGAAAATGTAAGCAAAGGAGGAATTTTGCTTTGCCGTGATGGGAGATTTAGTGCAAAGTCACGTTTTCCAGTACTATGGTTTGCACATCTTGTCTTGGGAAGTTACCACTCGTCAGCTGAGGCACAGGGACTACCTGTCCCACACACTGGCTCGCTCCCACGTGGAGGGAGGGTGCGTGAGTGAGTGAGTTTGTAGGAGCTTTACTTTGCAGTTTGGGTAACTGGGAGATGGTGACTGTGCGCTGAGAAGAGAGAACACTAGGGATTGCTAACACAATTACAGTGCACAGCCCTGCCACCCATGTACACATATGTACAACAGGCTGCCCAGGGAGGGGGTGGAGTCCCCATCCCTGGCTGTGTTTAAGGGCCGTTTAGATGCAGTGCTGAGGGACATGGTGTAGGGGAGGACTTTGTAGAGTAGGGGAGATGGTGGGACTCGATGATCCCAAGGGTCTCTTCCAACCTAGATGATTCTATGATTCTATATGCTTTTTGCTAAAAGCAGAACTCATGGCTCTGTGGCACGGGATAAGCAAATCGTTTCCCCGCTATCTGTTAAACTTTCACTGTTATGAGGTCCTTCCTCCCTCCCTTCCTCCTCCACCTCCATCTGACTTGTTTTGGGTGACATCTAAACTCGTGAGCTTTCCGAGCAGGCATTGCGCTCAGGACACAGCACACACCATGAAGGAGAGAGTCCTGATCCTTCCCTGGCATTTCCAGGTGGCAATGGATCAGAAGAGTATGGTCACAGTTGGCTTGTTGACCCCAAACCCGTGACCCGTGACAGTCGGTATCTGCTGTGCAGCACAATCCTGGAAATCTGTTCTGAACCACAGAATCACAGAATCCCATAGGGTTGGAAGGGACCTCTGGAGATCATCTAGTCCAACCCCCCTGCCAGAGCCATCATCACCAAAGCCAAAGGCTGACCTACCTTAAGGCGTACAAGATAGTGCCGTTAGAGAACAGTCTGATGAGGCGGTTCCCCACGGTGACGTCGTGCAGGAAGGACCTTTTTGACTCCACAATGTACGTGTCTGGTACCCAGAGCAGTTCCACCAGGCGAGCGTCCAGCGTGAAGCTCTTGTTGCCATGGAAGACCAAGCGGGGGTCTGTCCAGCGCTGCCGCAGGTAGATGGTGGCTGTGTAATCCTGGGAGAGAGAGGGAAACCCCTGAGGATGGGGGTCCAGAACAGCACAGCTGTGGGCACACCATGGGCGGCCAGAGGCAGGACACACCTTTGTTTAACTCATCAAAACTCAGCTTCAAATGCAGTCAATCTGATAGATTTTCATCACAGCTTTATTTACGACATTACACCCTCAGGTGTAGTGCTTGAGGACTAAAGATTATACTCATAGTTTTGGTTTTTTGGATTTGTTTGTTTGTTTGTTTTGGGGTTTTTTTTGTTGGGTTGGTTTTTTTTTTTTTAAATGAGCAATTACTGTAATTGATATTTTTCCATCCATTTTGCAGGTTGGTTTGTTTTTTTTTAATGAGCAATTATTGTAATTGATATTTTTCCATCCATTTTGCAGGTAAGCCAACAGATGGGCAGTGCACACTTGAGGGCACGCAGCAAGTCGCTTACATTAAAAGTCAGTCATTGTCCACAGTTGGAAAATCACACACGTGCTATAAATGCGATCGTGAAAGAGACATCAGCACTTTGGAGCAAAAAGGTAAGCAACTCTGAGGTCTTAAAAAAAACACCAAATAAATGGAAGAAGAAAACTGTAGCATCTTTTTAAATAGGAGTTTTGAATCTAAGGACACTAGGAAGGTAAGCCAACAGATGGGCAGTGCACACTTGAGGGCACGCAGCAAGTCGCTTACATTAAAAGTCAGTCATTGTCCACAGTTGGAAAATCACACACGTGCTATAAATGCGATCGTGAAAGAGACATCAGCACTTTGGAGCAAAAAGGTAAGCAACTCTGAGGTCTTAAAAAAAACACCAAATAAATGGAAGAAGAAAACTGTAGCATCTTTTTAAATAGGAGTTTTGAATCTAAGGACACTAGGATTAAATTGAGCTTAGCCTGCCAAAATCTACCTGCAGTGACTGCAGTATTTTCAGTGCCCCATCGTACGAGGATAAGCAGTACCCAGCTCTAGAGATAATGCTTTCCTGAGCCTTCTGGACAGGCACAGGGCACTGTTCTGCTGTTCCCCTTCCTTCCTTATCGATGAAATGAATGAAACCAGTAAAATGCCTTTTGTTTTCAAAGCATCTCTGTCACAGACAGACAGATACTGGCGATGGTGTTAACAGCGTGAAGGCTCTGTGTTTCACCACAGATTTGCTACCTGTCTTCAGAGGATGAAGCATTTCTGTTTCACTTGATCTATAGTTTGTAAAGCTTTAAGAGAAAAAGTCTAAGTAAATATCAGGCATCAGCATTTATCTTTTGCAACTTTTAAAATTTTGCTGTCAGCCTAGACAGAGGAAAAACCGTGTCAGATAATACAGTGAATTATAAAGTGACAAAAGTGAAGAATCCTGGTAGTTTTCCAGAGTAAGCCTCTGCGATGTTTTCCATGTGATCAGAGCAATTTAAACGGACTATCAAGAAAAACTTCAGAACAGGAGCTAATTTACAAGGCCCTTTCATTAAGTTAGAGGCATCTGAATAATTGATTTTGTTGGTTCTGCCACTTCCCCAAAATTAATACCTTTATCAAAGTTACAATATTTTATTTAGTGAACTTGTTTAATTTTTGGGGGGAGAGAAAAAAAAGTTACAATATATTTAGTGAGCTTGTTTAATTTTTGGGGGGAGAGAAAAAAATAAGTCAGTGGTGTTCTTGCAAAAACTGAAATTAGGCATTGAAATTGTTCCTGACTGAACTTCAGACCGTTTGGACTGAAACTATTTCCTGAATTTACCCAAGTTACCCACAGTTTTGGTCAACCCAAACCAGGATTTTTCAGCAGCCGGTGTTTGAGATCCAGCTGTTACCAGAAGTGGAGGGAACCAGACTCAGCAGTGGTGGGAAAATGCTTTCTGTACATTTGAGAATTGTTATTTTTGTTGCTTGGGATGAACAGCCCTTTGGGCCTCAGACAGTGTCACAGCTCAAAACCTCATTTCTCCTCCTCGAGAAGAAACCCTGTGTCTTCAGTCAGTGCCAGAACATCCAACAGAGGCCACACCTTCCCTACGTAGAGGAAAGGTAACAGAGAGGAAACACCACACAGGGTTCATTTTTTCCATTTCAAATGAGCCTGATTTCCAGGAAATGCTGAGTTTTTGACCAGTGGGAGCTTTGGAACCATCTCTGTTTACTTACAAGCCCACATTGCTATAGTATCTCTGAGTTTTTGACCAGTGGGAGCTTTGGAGCCATCTCTGTTTACTTACAAGCCCACATTGCTATGGTATCTGCAGTCATAACTGAGCCCTGTTCTCATCACACCTCTGAATGTGGTCAGCTCATGAGAAAAGCAAACCAGCTTGAATCTGACACACAGGAATGTACAAGTCTCTCAGGCAGATCCTACTCATCAAATAAAAATTCTTTCACTTACCATGTCGCTCTCGGATATACTAGAAATACTTGCGATGTCCAGACTCATCGCAATTTGAACAGGTTCCCCTGTGGAGGGAGAGAAAAGCTTGAGCAAAGAGAAGAGCAAAAAGCACAACAAAACCACTTGGGATGCTGCGCAGCGCGGGCTCCGCGCACAGCGTCCCGTGCTGTCCCTGAAACCCCAGAACCCCAAGGGTTAGACACAGCCTCAGAGCATCAGGCTCACAAATGCCATCGTGACCCAAAATGAAGTTGTCCCTGTTAGGGAGCCAGAGCTGTGTACTTGTGCTGGCAGCAGAGAGCATGGTGTCCACCAGCCCTGGCTATGAAGATCAGCTTAGACAGGTGGCATTGCAGTGGCATTTGTGGACGGGCAGGCAGGCAGGGCCACTTTATCCCTTGTCACCCAGCACACAACACCCGCACAGAGGCAACAACAGCAAACTTTGCACAAAGCAGTTCTCTGCACAGCTCTCGGGGGCCTCTCCCCAGGCAGGTGGCAACCAGCACCCCCCTTTTCCAGAGGGGAAAACTAAGAGGCAGAGAAATCTCAGGTGATTCCCGAGACTACGCAGCGGCTTACAACCAGAGTGCAACAGCCTCTGCCTCTTTTAATTTACTGTATTACCGTCCTATTTACAAGTAATTTTTCAGCACTCAAGTCCTGAACCTTGGTAGTCCCCCGTTTTCTAAGTCTTAAAGTCTTTTCAAAGTCTTAAAATCCGCCACGAGAGGGCAGCTCCTCCCCAGGAAATGCCGGAGCCGGGGGCTGGATCCTGCCGGGGAGCGCAGGGCGGGCTCTGAAGGGGTGGTTGTTCAACGAGCAGAAAGACACAAGCTTTCCCTTAGACTGTGCCTGGGTTGTGTGACCCCCAGGATGAATTTGGGGCTCAGAGTAGGGCTTGGCGCTTTCCAAGGTAACCCTCTCTCCCCAGGTGACAACACAGCAACACCTTGCCTTGTGGGATTTGCTGAAACTCCTTTTCATCACCTAGATCCCATTTGGGAAAATCCAAGAGACACAGTTTCTAAATCTCCGTCTGGGTGGTTTTAGTTTTGTAGTTTTGTTGCGGTTTTTTTTTGTTCATTTCTTTTAAACGGTTGAAAAATCCAAAATACATTTCATTTGCAAAATACGTGTATTTTTTAAAGTAGCTGTCATTGACATTCTCCATCTTATTTTTAGGTATTTAGACACTCGAAGCCCACCCAAATTCATGACCAGAGGGTAGATCTGTGAGGACTCAGGGCTTCTGGAGGGGGTCAAACCAGAGTCCTGCCCATTTTTGTTTAACGTTTATGTCTCAGGTAGGCATGGGCTGGTGCAGATGCAGTTAATCTCCATTACACAGTTCAGAAGCATCTGTTCACTGATGTGACAGGATCTAGAGGAGCTTTTCTATTCCTGCATGAGATCAGACATTCCGGGCCTAACAAGCTGGTAAATTGTGTATTGTCCCAGAAATGTATCACCATGGTCAGGAAAAGGAAGAAGATCAAAGCTGCCGGTGGCAGGTCATTCTGCAGGAGCTACAATGGGAAACATCCCACTCCTGGTGAAGGCTGATGGGGAATTGTTCTACTGAGCATAGTTTCATTAATGGGTTCTGGCAGGAAAGCAAAATTGATAAAAGTTAAAAAATATCTGTTTTTAAAACTTTCATCAATATTTTTCAGGTGCTGAATGTCATTCTGAGAAACCCTTTCCTCCAAGTGGTTACAGCACTCATCTGGAAGGCGGGAGACCTGGCACCCAAACTGGGCACCCAAACCCTCAGGTAAGTTCCTAAATACCTGACTGTCCTTCAGGTGCTCCCTGCTCCCTAGAATTCCACCAGGGTTTCAAGCAGGTTTAGTTTGTGTCTCAGTGCAAAGTGAAAGCATCCATCAAAAGTATTTCTGGCAAGGAGGATAACTTTATTCCTCTATAGCCACAAACTACTAAACAGATATGCATGAACAAAAATAAGGCAGAAAATCACAAGGGTCAGATTCTAAACAAAAGCCTGTACAATTAGAGCAGAATTTAGTTACTCTGTCAGAGATATATATATATAAACTCCCTGTTCCTAACCTCCTAGGTGGGGATGCTCCCATGCCCCACTCGTGCACACACAGTCTATTCAAGACAACAGCAGATGCACAGAAAGGAGTGAGGCCTGGGCTATTTGTTCATTTAAAAGGAGTACAACCAAAGGGACTGGGGCATCCCAAAGACAGCCTGCAGCACGCCCTCCCCTCCCACAAGGGGTTAGACACAGCCTCAGAGCATCAGGCTCACAAATGCCATCGTGACCCAAAATGAAGTTGTCCCTGTTAGGGAGCCAGAGCTGTGTACTTGTGCTGGCAGCAGAGAGCATGGTGTCCACCAGCCCTGGCTATGAAGATCAGCTTAGACAGGTGGCATTGCAGTGGCATTTGTGGACGGGCAGGCAGGCAGGGCCACTTTATCCCTTGTCACCCAGCACACAACACCCGCACAGAGGCAACAACAGCAAACTTTGCACAAAGCAGTTCTCTGCACAGCTCTCGGGGGCCTCTCCCCAGGCAGGTGGCAACCAGCACCCCCCTTTTCCAGAGGGGAAAACTAAGAGGCAGAGAAATCTCAGGTGATTCCCGAGACTACGCAGCGGCTTACAACCAGAGTGCAACAGCCTCTGCCTCTTTTAATTTACTGTATTACCGTCCTATTTACAAGTAATTTTTCAGCACTCAAGTCCTGAACCTTGGTAGTCCCCCGTTTTCTAAGTCTTAAAGTCTTTTCAAAGTCTTAAAATCCGCCACGAGAGGGCAGCTCCTCCCCAGGAAATGCCGGAGCCGGGGGCTGGATCCTGCCGGGGAGCGCAGGGCGGGCTCTGAAGGGGTGGTTGTTCAACGAGCAGAAAGACACAAGCTTTCCCTTAGACTGTGCCTGGGTTGTGTGACCCCCAGGATGAATTTGGGGCTCAGAGTAGGGCTTGGCGCTTTCCAAGGCAACCCTCTCTCCCCAGGTGACAACACAGCAACACCTTGCCTTGTGGGATTTGCTCAAACTCCTTTTCGTCACCTAGATCACATTTAGGAAAGTCCAAGAGACACAGTTTCTAAATCTCCATCTGGGTGGTTTTAGTTCTGTAGTTTTGTTGAGGTTTTTTTTGTTCATTTCTTTTAAACGGTTCAAAAATCCAAAATACATTTCATTTGCAAAATACGTGTATTTTTTAAAGTAGCTGTCATTGACATTGTCCATCTTATTTTTAGGTATTTAGACACTCGAAGCCCACCCAAATTCATGACCAGAGGGTAGATCTGTGAGGACTCAGGGCTTCTGGAGGGGATCAAACCAGAGTCCTGCCCATTTTTGTTTAACGTTTATGTCTCAGGTAGGCATGGGCTGGTGCAGATGCAGTTAATCTCCATTACACAGTTCAGAAGCATCTGTTCATTGATGGGATGGGATCTAGAAGAGCTTTTCTATTCCTGCATGAGATCAGACATTCCAGGCATAACAAGCTGGTAAATTGTGTATTGTCCCAGAAATGTATCACCATGGTCAGGAAAAGGAAGAAGATCAAAGCTGCCAGTAGCAGGTCACTCTGCAGGAGCTACAATGGGAAACATCCCACTCCTGGTGAAGGCTGATGGGGAATTGTTCTACTGAGCATAGTTTCATTAATGGGTTCTGGCAGGAAAGCAAAATTGATAAAAATTTTAAAAATAGCTGTTTTTAAAACTTTCATCAATATTTTTCAGGTGCTGAATGTCATTCTGAGAAACTCTTTCCTCCGAGTGGTTACAGCACCCATCTGGAAGGCGGGAGACCTGGCACCCAACTGGGCACCCAAACCCTCAGGTAAGTTCCTAAATACCTGACTGTCCTTCAGGTGCTCCCTGCTCCCTAGAATTCCACCAGGGTTTCAAGCAGGTTTAGTTTGCGTCTCAGTGCAAAGTGAAAGCATCCATCAAAAGTATTTCTGGCAAGGAGGATAACTTTATTCCTCTATAGCCACAACCTACTAAACAGATATGCATGAACAAAAATAAGGCAGAAAATCACAAGGGTCAGATTCTAAACAAAAGCCTGTACAATTAGAGCAGAATTTAGTTACTCTGTCAGAGATATATATATATAAACTCCCTGTTCCTAACCTCCTAGGTGGGGATGCTCCCATGCCCCACTCGTGCACACACAGTCTATTCAAGACAACAGCAGATGCACAGAAAGGAGTGAGGCCTGGGCTATTTGTTCATTTAAAAGGAGTACAACCAAAGGGACTGGGGCATCCCAAAGACAGCCTGCAGCACGCCCTCCCCTCCCACAAGCCCCACAGGCTGCTCTCCACCGGTCCAACGCACGGAGCCAACGTACCACCAAAGTAGGGCCTGAGGTATTTGTTGTATCCCATGGTGAGGTTCTCAAATCCGGGGAGGGAGGTTGTGTCTCCACTGCGCAAGTCGGGAACGTGACCCAGGGAGCACCTCCTGGGGACACAAACAGGGACCGTTAGGTGTGCCCGGGCGTGCTGGGCACATCTGGTGTGCAGCCACAGCTGCCTTGCCAGCTCCTGCTCAAACAAGCAAACAAACTGCATAAAACGGTTATTAAAAATAAGCAGATCATTGAAATCACAAGCACTCGCTCATATTCCTTATCTTGGCTGAATAATTGGCACCTTAAAGAGGGGGGAAAACAGCAAATTAACCTCAGCTGATAGCTACAGGTTTGCACACACAGTAGCTTAAAGATGGTCTTAAAATGTCCCAGACAAATGAAGCAAGGTCTGTATCTCACAAATCTTAATACTAATCTTAATACTAACCCGCAATCTCCCCTTCCCACCCCTCACATGCTCTCTATAAGGTACCCACATTTCTGTTTTCCTCCTGCTTGTGACAAATGGTGCTGACCAGCTTCTCCTCCTCCCTAATCACCAGTCCCCTAAAGAAGCTTTCAGCCTCGTGTGTCAGTGTCAGCAGCTCCCTACAGCTGCTGCCAGGAGTAAAACCTCTGGGCACACCGACGGGGAAGGTAAAGCACTGAGTGCTTCAGACACCATCAGAGCTCTGGTGGCTGCACCACCCCTAGAGCTGCTGTGCACACAGAGGCTTCAACTCTCATTTACAACGTCAAAATTCACGTTTTGGGGATGGACAATAAAGCTGGTACCTGGCATGGTGAGGCTCACAAGTCTGTACCATCACACAGGTGGCCAGGGAGACAGGGCTTTTGGACTGTAAAAGTTATGTTTTATGGTGCAGAGTCCCTGTGTGGTCTTGTGATCACTTGATGGAAATGTAAATGAGTGAGTCATTAAGAGTTTTGTCACTGGTTTGTGAAGGGCTGAAGGAGGTGCCTCATCTCTTCCCAGAGCCTCAGGGCCACAGTGTGTGCAGTAAGACCCTCAGCAAGACAGTTACTCAAAGCTCTGATGGGTCTTTGCCTTCTGTTCCCTGTGAAGCTGGGTCAGTGCTCCTTGGAGCTTTGCTGCAGGTTTTCAACCAAAAAGGACCCTACAGCAGAACCAAAGCATTTTGTGCACAGCATAAACATAAACCATTCGAGATATTTAGGAGTTGCAGGTCCAGGGAGGGCAATAACAGCTGGGAGTCCTGCAGGGACATTCCCATTTCTAGCAAAAACTGCAAACTATTCTGGTCCTGAACAGGAAATAAGAGGTTGCAGAGTTAATGGGCACACTGGGGCTCGGGGACCTGTGCGGGCTGCTCTCTCCTGTGCCACCCAGGTGTGCTGGGACGGGCTGGGTAACGAGGAGCAAAGCTTCCTTTTGACACACCTTAGTTACATGAAAGATAATTCAGATGTTCCCTGTAAAACAAAACAAACGCTTCCCTTACCTCTGGGTTGGAAGGAAAAGACACAGACTGAGGAAGCAAAAGTATCTGCACAACATCTCTGGAGGTTACTTCTGTATTTGCTCTGCTTGTCTGTGAAGAAAAAAAGAAACACAAAGTCTTGTGGGTTAAAAGTATTTTAAGGGAAGGGGACGGGGAAAAGAAATCCCACAGAGTGAGACCCACACACTGTGTGATGTTTTACGTTCCCAACACATAGTGGCTCCTGCCCTTTTTGATAGTATGTGTTGGTTTCAGCACCCTTCCTTCTATCTTAATGCCTTCCACATAAGACACTAGTGACAACAGAGATCCTCAAGTCCTTGACAGGGTCACCAAAATTTAGCTGTCACCTAATTTTAGAAAGGGCTTTTCTTCTTTCAGCACGGGATGGCGATTAGCAGATGAGAATGGCACAGTGGGAAGGGATTTGTGTTCCAGCAGTCGGACTCTGACACGAGTGAGACCCTGCCCACGTGTGACAGATTCAGCATCTCTCAGTCCCGGGCTCCGCTGACCGGCCCCGCAGAAAGGCCGCGTCTCCACGCTCCATTAGCTTGTACCTGGGATAAACACGTGCTATTAATAGCCGTGCTGGGGAGTCACCCAGCATGCTGGGGACCTGTGTGGGCTGCTCTCTCCTGTGCCACATCCCCTGCTGCACCCAGCTGTCCTGGGACGGGCTGGGTAACTGGGAGCACAGCTTCCTTTTGACCCACATTAGTTACATGAAACATAATTCAGATGTTCCCTGTAAAACAAAACAAACGCTTCCCTTACCTCTGGGTTGGAAGGAAAAGACACAGACTGAGGAAGCAAAAGTATCTGCACAACATCTCTGGAGGTTACTTCTGTATTTGCTCTGCTTGTCTGTGAAGAAAAAAAGAAACACAAAGTCTTGTGGGTTAAAAGTATTTTAAGGGAAGGGGACGGGGAAAAGAAATCCCACAGAGTGAGACCCACACACTGTGTGATGTTTTACGTTCCCAACACATAGTGGCTCCTGCCCTTTTCGATAGCTTGTGTTGGTTTCAGCACCATTCTTAGTCCCTTCCACATAAGACACTAGTGACAACGCAGGTCCTCAAGTCCTTGACAGGGTCACCAAATTTTAGCTACCGCCTCATTTTAGAAAGGGCTTTTCTTCTTTCAGCACGGGATGGCGATTAGCAGATGAGAATGGCACAGTGGGAAGGGATTTGTGTTCCAGCAGTCGGACTCTGACACGAGTGAGACCCTGCCCACGTGTGACAGATTCAGCATCTCTCAGTCCCGGGCTCCGCTGACCGGCCCCGCAGAAAGGCCGCGTCTCCACGCTCCATTAGCTTGTACCTGGGATAAACACGTGCTATTAATAGCCGTGCTGGGGAGTCACCCAGCATGCAGTACAGGATGAAATCATCCCGCTTTAAATGGGTTTCGTTGACTTTTCTGGGAGCGGAACCAAATCTTGGCTCCTGGCCCCAGACTCCCAGGGGCTGGTGCTGGCCCTGGAGCAGGTGCCACCACGGGCAACTCTCAACCAAGCACTGCTCTGCTCTGCCCTGTGGCATCCCACCTGGAATGCCTTCTCGTGGGCACAGGGACAGCGCTCTGCAGGGTGGGCTGGGGGGCACGGCTGCCACAGCTGCCCAGGGGACACCCTCACCCAGCCATCGTCAGCCTGAGCTGGAGACACAACACCTCTCCACCTGCTTGAAGTGTACCCCATGTGTCAAGAGTTTTCCCTGCAGATACCGGCAAGGCAGCATCATTTTGGGATGGATATGAGGTTTCCTCTTTATTATACCAATACAAATTGGGAGTGACTACTCGAATCGTTAGTCCCTGCGCCTCGACAAGATCCCACCTTCAGATTCAGTGTCTTTCTCATCATGAACAGCAGAGTTAGGGCCTCAACTTCAAATCTGTCGGATCCACCGAAACCCAAATATCAGGAATTTGCTGCTTGGCTTAGATTCTTCCTGGGGTAGTTCACCAGAGTGCACTCTGCCTTCTCGGCCAGTCGTACAGCTCTGGTGCTGTGCCATGGACAGCAGGGTTCCAGGCAAGGAGAACATCTTGGCTCAGACAGAGCCACTAAAAACACCTCAACATTCAAGTACCACAAATGCAGGGCATCCCACTGGAGAAAGGATATTTTTAAAAATAAAATATACTCTATTATCTGTCCAAAATCTGAATTTCTAACAAGGCTTTGCAATTCTAGCTCTTTCTCTGAACGTGGTGTTCAGATGTTTCCAGGCATTATGGAGTGATCCTCATCATAAGGTGATCCAACAGGGCTACAATCACTGACCCGCTCACTGCAATGTTAGACCACAATTCTCATAGCAAAGGAGGAGGATGAGTGCAGGCAGTTTAGAGAAGAGCTTCAAGGAAGAAAGGATAATTCTAGAAATTAGCATTTAATTAAAGTATGAGAATTCATGGACTTCAGCTGAGGAACAGCCCCTTATGAGCATCTGTTTCACAGAGGGATGGTGGGTGCTGGCATTTTGGCGCAATGGAGTAAGTTTCTAAGCAGTTTCATTCTATCTGATCCTAGGTACTAAGACCTTATTTTGAAAAAAGCAAACCAATTCTATTTATTTTGATGACTGACCTTTTATGAAGCAAAAAGCCTCCTTGGGCTAAGACCTTATTTTGAAAAAAGCAAACCTAATTCTATTTATTTTGATGACTGACTAATGGATGGAGACCTTTTATGAAGCAAAAAGCCTCCTTGGGACCCTGTCGTGTCTTCAGTCAATGGAAGGGAAGGTGCTACTGCTGTACGGTGAAGTTGAAACAAACCAGCTTAGATAAATGTACAGCTGCTGCTGCCACACACCTGAGTGAACTACACAGTCTAAATTTCCCTACAACTCTGCTAATTCTTTGCAAAACCAGGAAAATGTTTTTTTCCTCCCTTAGAGGGTGGCTGTGAAGGTAATAAATACATCAAAGATGGTGAGGCTGCGGAAGGGGGATCTGTAAGTACCAAATGGAGCTAGAAACCAGGCCTACCAAAGTGCTCACGGGCAGGAAAAGGTGACACCAGTCCCCAGAGCCAAATAACCAACAAACCTCAAACACTGGTTCATCTGGATGTTCCCTGTGGGGAGGGAAAGCAGGGCCGGGCCATAGCAGGAGAGCAGCAGTCAGGAAGGCAGCACTAGTACAGCTGGTGGGGAGGTGCTGCTGGAGCCAAAGTTCTATAAAAATCATTATGTAGACTCAGAGATAATGAAAACCTCAAGAATATAGCACTTACTCAGCTGTGTGTTCTCCCTATGGGCTGTGAAAATCATACAAAGATTCAAATACTACAGTAAAATAGATCCAACTAGAGTCCTCTGTGGAAGCCTGTGTCCACTTCCAGAGAATTTCACGAAATAAGGCTTCTTTACGCCGAGCAACAGCAGCCATGTCTGCCCTACAGCTCCGCCTCTGCTTCCTCACGCTGCTTTATTCCCCTCTGAGGGGTGGTAGGAATGAAAACACAAAAGGAGGAAAAATCACCTGAAGGGCCCTAAGTGGTACCTGGGCTCCTGCACACCCCTGCTGGGGTACCCCCACCCCCTGGCAGCCCTGAGCCACAGGGGAGGCCGGCAGGAACTGCTGCCCTCCTGCCTCACCTCCCACCTCACTTCTGTCTTGTGTCTCACTGCACAGAGCAAAAAAGGAGCATGTTCTCCTAACCTTCTACCAGCTGCTGGCATCCCAACACCAGACACAGGAGCATTTATGAGAATCCAAAAAGCCACTGGAGGACCAAACCCACCTGAGCAGGGTACTAAGCTTCAGATAGTAACTCAGAGGGTCAGATTTTACTAGTTGATGTGATGGGATCTAGAAGAGCTTTTCTATTCCTGCATGAGATCAGACATTCCAGGCATAACAAGCTGGTAAATTGTGTATTGTCCCAGAAATGTATCACCATGGTCAGGAAAAGGAAGAAGATCAAAGCTGCCAGTAGCAGGTCACTCTGCAGGAGCTACAATGGGAAACATCCCACTCCTGGTGAAGGCTGATGGGGAATTGTTCTACTGAGCATAGTTTCATTAATGGGTTCTGGCAGGAAAGCAAAATTGATAAAAATTTTAAAAATAGCTGTTTTTAAAACTTTCATCAATATTTTTCAGGTGCTGAATGTCATTCTGAGAAACTCTTTCCTCCGAGTGGTTACAGCACCCATCTGGAAGGCGGGAGACCTGGCACCCAACTGGGCACCCAAACCCTCAGGTAAGTTCCTAAATACCTGACTGTCCTTCAGGTGCTCCCTGCTCCCTAGAATTCCACCAGGGTTTCAAGCAGGTTTAGTTTGCGTCTCAGTGCAAAGTGAAAGCATCCATCAAAAGTATTTCTGGCAAGGAGGATAACTTTATTCCTCTATAGCCACAACCTACTAAACAGATATGCATGAACAAAAATAAGGCAGAAAATCACAAGGGTCAGATTCTAAACAAAAGCCTGTACAATTAGAGCAGAATTTAGTTACTCTGTCAGAGATATATATATATAAACTCCCTGTTCCTAACCTCCTAGGTGGGGATGCTCCCATGCCCCACTCGTGCACACACAGTCTATTCAAGACAACAGCAGATGCACAGAAAGGAGTGAGGCCTGGGCTATTTGTTCATTTAAAAGGAGTACAACCAAAGGGACTGGGGCATCCCAAAGACAGCCTGCAGCACGCCCTCCCCTCCCACAAGCCCCACAGGCTGCTCTCCACCGGTCCAACGCACGGAGCCAACGTACCACCAAAGTAGGGCCTGAGGTATTTGTTGTATCCCATGGTGAGGTTCTCAAATCCGGGGAGGGAGGTTGTGTCTCCACTGCGCAAGTCGGGAACGTGACCCAGGGAGCACCTCCTGGGGACACAAACAGGGACCGTTAGGTGTGCCCGGGCGTGCTGGGCACATCTGGTGTGCAGCCACAGCTGCCTTGCCAGCTCCTGCTCAAACAAGCAAACAAACTGCATAAAACGGTTATTAAAAATAAGCAGATCATTGAAATCACAAGCACTCGCTCATATTCCTTATCTTGGCTGAATAATTGGCACCTTAAAGAGGGGGGAAAACAGCAAATTAACCTCAGCTGATAGCTACAGGTTTGCACACACAGTAGCTTAAAGATGGTCTTAAAATGTCCCAGACAAATGAAGCAAGGTCTGTATCTCACAAATCTTAATACTAATCTTAATACTAACCCGCAATCTCCCCTTCCCACCCCTCACATGCTCTCTATAAGGTACCCACATTTCTGTTTTCCTCCTGCTTGTGACAAATGGTGCTGACCAGCTTCTCCTCCTCCCTAATCACCAGTCCCCTAAAGAAGCTTTCAGCCTCGTGTGTCAGTGTCAGCAGCTCCCTACAGCTGCTGCCAGGAGTAAAACCTCTGGGCACACCGACGGGGAAGGTAAAGCACTGAGTGCTTCAGACACCATCAGAGCTCTGGTGGCTGCACCACCCCTAGAGCTGCTGTGCACACAGAGGCTTCAACTCTCATTTACAACGTCAAAATTCACGTTTTGGGGATGGACAATAAAGCTGGTACCTGGCATGGTGAGGCTCACAAGTCTGTACCATCACACAGGTGGCCAGGGAGACAGGGCTTTTGGACTGTAAAAGTTATGTTTTATGGTGCAGAGTCCCTGTGTGGTCTTGTGATCACTTGATGGAAATGTAAATGAGTGAGTCATTAAGAGTTTTGTCACTGGTTTGTGAAGGGCTGAAGGAGGTGCCTCATCTCTTCCCAGAGCCTCAGGGCCACAGTGTGTGCAGTAAGACCCTCAGCAAGACAGTTACTCAAAGCTCTGATGGGTCTTTGCCTTCTGTTCCCTGTGAAGCTGGGTCAGTGCTCCTTGGAGCTTTGCTGCAGGTTTTCAACCAAAAAGGACCCTACAGCAGAACCAAAGCATTTTGTGCACAGCATAAACATAAACCATTCGAGATATTTAGGAGTTGCAGGTCCAGGGAGGGCAATAACAGCTGGGAGTCCTGCAGGGACATTCCCATTTCTAGCAAAAACTGCAAACTATTCTGGTCCTGAACAGGAAATAAGAGGTTGCAGAGTTAATGGGCACACTGGGGCTCGGGGACCTGTGCGGGCTGCTCTCTCCTGTGCCACCCAGGTGTGCTGGGACGGGCTGGGTAACGAGGAGCAAAGCTTCCTTTTGACACACCTTAGTTACATGAAAGATAATTCAGATGTTCCCTGTAAAACAAAACAAATGCTTCCCTTACCTCTGGGTTGGAAGGAAAAGACACAGACTGAGGAAGCAAAAGTATCTGCACAACATCTCTGGAGGTTACTTCTGTATTTGCTCTGCTTGTCTGTGAAGAAAAAAAGAAACACAAAGTCTTGTGGGTTAAAAGTATTTTAAGGGAAGGGGACGGGGAAAAGAAATCCCACAGAGTGAGACCCACACACTGTGTGATGTTTTACGTTCCCAACACATAGTGGCTCCTGCCCTTTTTGATAGCATGTGTTGGTTTCAGCACCCTTCCTTCTATCTTAATGCCTTCCACATAAGACACTAGTGACAACAGAGATCCTCAAGTCCTTGACAGGGTCACCAAAATTTAGCTGTCACCTAATTTTAGAAAGGGCTTTTCTTCTTTCAGCACGGGATGGCGATTAGCAGATGAGAATGGCACAGTGGGAAGGGATTTGTGTTCCAGCAGTCGGACTCTGACACGAGTGAGACCCTGCCCACGTGTGACAGATTCAGCATCTCTCAGTCCCGGGCTCCGCTGACCGGCCCCGCAGAAAGGCCGCGTCTCCACGCTCCATTAGCTTGTACCTGGGATAAACACGTGCTATTAATAGCCGTGCTGGGGAGTCACCCAGCATGCAGTACAGGATGAAATCATCCCGCTTTAAATGGGTTTCGTTGACTTTTCTGGGAGCGGAACCAAATCTTGGCTCCTGGCCCCAGACTCCCAGGGGCTGGTGCTGGCCCTGGAGCAGGTGCCACCACGGGCAACTCTCAACCAAGCACTGCTCTGCTCTGCCCTGTGGCATCCCACCTGGAATGCCTTCTCGTGGGCACAGGGACAGCGCTCTGCAGGGTGGGCTGGGGGGCACGGCTGCCACAGCTGCCCAGGGGACACCCTCACCCAGCCATCGTCCATCTGAGCTGGAGACACAACACCTCTCCACCTGCTTGAAGTGTACCCCATGTGTCAAGAGTTTTCCCTGCAGATACCGGCAAGGCAGCATCATTTTGGGATGGATATGAGGTTTCCTCTTTATTATACCAATACAAATTGGGAGTGACTACTCGAATCATTAGTCCCTGCGCCTCGACAAGATCCCACCTTCAGATTCAGTGTCTTTCTCATCATGAACAGCAGAGTTAGGGCCTCAACTTCAAATCTGTCGGATCCACCGAAACCCAAATATCAGGAATTTGCTGCTTGGCTTAGATTCTTCCTGGGGTAGTTCACCAGAGTGCACTCTGCCTTCTCGGCCAGTCGTACAGCTCTGGTGCTGTGCCATGGACAGCAGGGTTCCAGGCAAGGAGAACATCTTGGCTCAGACAGAGCCACTAAAAACACCTCAACATTCAAGTACCACAAATGCAGGGCATCCCACTGGAGAAAGGATATTTTTAAAAATAAAATATACTCTATTATCTGTCCAAAATCTGAATTCCTAACAAGGCTTTGCAATTCTAGCTCTTTCTCTGAACATGGTGTTCAGATGTTTCCAGGCATTATGGAGTGATCCTCATCATAAGGTGATCCAACAGGGCTACAATCACTGACCCGCTCACTGCAATGTTAGACCACAATTCTCATAGCAAAGGAGGAGGATGAGTGCAGGCAGTTCAAAGAAGAGCTTCGAGGAAGAAAGGATAATTCTAGAAATTAGCATTTAATTAAAGTATGAGAATTCATGGACTTCAGCTGAGGAACAGCCCCTTATGAGCATCTGTTTCACAGAGGGATGGTGGGTGCTGGCATTTTGGCGCAATGGAGTAAGTTTCTAAGCAGTTTCATTCTATCTGATCCTAGGTACTAAGACCTTATTTTGAAAAAAGCAAACCAATTCTATTTATTTTGATGACTGACCTTTTATGAAGCAAAAAGCCTCCTTGGGACCCTGTCGTGTCTTCAGTCAATGGAAGGGAAGGTGCTACTGCTGTACGGTGAAGTTGAAACAAACCAGCTTAGATAAATGTACAGCTGCTGCTGCCACACACCTGAGTGAACTACACAGTCTAAATTTCCCTACAACTCTGCTAATTCTTTGCAAAACCAGGAAAATGTTTTTTTCCTCCCTTAGAGGGTGGCTGTGAAGGTAATAAATACATCAAAGATGGTGAGGCTGCGGAAGGGGGATCTGTAAGTACCAAATGGAGCTAGAAACCAGGCCTACCAAAGTGCTCACGGGCAGGAAAAGGTGACACCAGTCCCCAGAGCCAAATAACCAACAAACCTCAAACACTGGTTCATCTGGATGTTCCCTGTGGGGAGGGAAAGCAGGGCCGGGCCATAGCAGGAGAGCAGCAGTCAGGAAGGCAGCACTAGTACAGCTGGTGGGGAGGTGCTGCTGGAGCCAAAGTTCTATAAAAATCATTATGTAGACTCAGAGATAATGAAAACCTCAAGAATATAGCACTTACTCAGCTGTGTGTTCTCCCTATGGGCTGTGAAAATCATACAAAGATTCAAATACTACAGTAAAATAGATCCAACTAGAGTCCTCTGTGGAAGCCTGTGTCCACTTCCAGAGAATTTCACGAAATAAGGCTTCTTTACGCCGAGCAACAGCAGCCATGTCTGCCCTACAGCTCCGCCTCTGCTTCCTCACGCTGCTTTATTCCCCTCTGAGGGGTGGTAGGAATGAAAACACAAAAGGAGGAAAAATCACCTGAAGGGCCCTAAGTGGTACCCGGGCTCCTGTGCACCCCTGCTGGGGTACCCCCACCCCCTGGCAGCCCTGAGCCACAGGGGAGGCCGGCAGGAACTGCTGCCCTCCTGCCTCACCTCCCACCTCACTTCTGTCTTGTGTCTCACTGCACAGAGCAAAAAAGGAGCATGTTCTCCTAACCTTCTACCAGCTGCTGGCATCCCAACACCAGACACAGGAGCATTTATGAGAATCCAAAAAGCCACTGGAGGACCAAACCCACCTGAGCAGGGTACTAAGCTTCAGATAGTAACTCAGAGGGTCAGATTTTACTAGAGCCCAAGCGCTATGACTGCGGAACACACCACACGTGGTACCAGCCACCAGTTGCCAAATGCAATTCCAAAATGATGAAAAGAGGCAAAGAGCATCATATGCCCCAGGATCAGACTTCACTGGCTTTGCCAAAATGTCACTTCAAGGTCACCGTATTTGTTTATCTAAAGAGGTTTTGAGTGATTCAAGAGAGATCTCATCTGTCTTCCCTTTTGTAAGGTTTCTTTTCCCCCTGCCCTGGCTGAACCATGAGCACTTTTCTGATCTTGAAAGACAGTAACTTTCCTAAATACCTGACTGTCCTTCAGGTGCTCCCTGCTCCCTAGAATTCCACCAGGGTTTCAAGCAGGTTTAGTTTGCGTCTCAGTGCAAAGTGAAAGCATCCATCAAAAGTATTTCTGGCAAGGAGGATAACTTTATTCCTCTATAGCCACAACCTACTAAACAGATATGCATGAACAAAAATAAGGCAGAAAATCACAAGGGTCAGATTCTAAACAAAAGCCTGTACAATTAGAGCAGAATTTAGTTACTCTGTCAGAGATATATATATATAAACTCCCTGTTCCTAACCTCCTAGGTGGGGATGCTCCCATGCCCCACTCGTGCACACACAGTCTATTCAAGACAACAGCAGATGCACAGAAAGGAGTGAGGCCTGGGCTATTTGTTCATTTAAAAGGAGTACAACCAAAGGGACTGGGGCATCCCAAAGACAGCCTGCAGCACGCCCTCCCCTCCCACAAGCCCCACAGGCTGCTCTCCACCGGTCCAACGCACGGAGCCAACGTACCACCAAAGTAGGGCCTGAGGTATTTGTTGTATCCCATGGTGAGGTTCTCAAATCCGGGGAGGGAGGTTGTGTCTCCACTGCGCAAGTCGGGAACGTGACCCAGGGAGCACCTCCTGGGGACACAAACAGGGACCGTTAGGTGTGCCCGGGCGTGCTGGGCACATCTGGGGTGCAGCCACAGCTGCCTTGCCAGCTCCTGCTCAAACAAGCAAACAAACTGCATAAAACGGTTATTAAAAATAAGCAGATCATTGAAATCACAAGCACTCGCTCATATTCCTTATCTTGGCTGAATAATTGGCACCTTAAAGAGGGGGGAAAACAGCAAATTAACCTCAGCTGATAGCTACAGGTTTGCACACACAGTAGCTTAAAGATGGTCTTAAAATGTCCCAGACAAATGAAGCAAGGTCTGTATCTCACAAATCTTAATACTAATCTTAATACTAACCCGCAATCTCCCCTTCCCACCCCTCACATGCTCTCTATAAGGTACCCACATTTCTGTTTTCCTCCTGCTTGTGACAAATGGTGCTGACCAGCTTCTCCTCCTCCCTAATCACCAGTCCCCTAAAGAAGCTTTCAGCCTCGTGTGTCAGTGTCAGCAGCTCCCTACAGCTGCTGCCAGGAGTAAAACCTCTGGGCACACCGACGGGGAAGGTAAAGCACTGAGTGCTTCAGACACCATCAGAGCTCTGGTGGCTGCACCACCCCTAGAGCTGCTGTGCACACAGAGGCTTCAACTCTCATTTACAACGTCAAAATTCACGTTTTGGGGATGGACAATAAAGCTGGTACCTGGCATGGTGAGGCTCACAAGTCTGTACCATCACACAGGTGGCCAGGGAGACAGGGCTTTTGGACTGTAAAAGTTATGTTTTATGGTGCAGAGTCCCTGTGTGGTCTTGTGATCACTTGATGGAAATGTAAATGAGTGAGTCATTAAGAGTTTTGTCACTGGTTTGTGAAGGGCTGAAGGAGGTGCCTCATCTCTTCCCAGAGCCTCAGGGCCACAGTGTGTGCAGTAAGACCCTCAGCAAGACAGTTACTCAAAGCTCTGATGGGTCTTTGCCTTCTGTTCCCTGTGAAGCTGGGTCAGTGCTCCTTGGAGCTTTGCTGCAGGTTTTCAACCAAAAAGGACCCTACAGCAGAACCAAAGCATTTTGTGCACAGCATAAACATAAACCATTCGAGATATTTAGGAGTTGCAGGTCCAGGGAGGGCAATAACAGCTGGGAGTCCTGCAGGGACATTCCCATTTCTAGCAAAAACTGCAAACTATTCTGGTCCTGAACAGGAAATAAGAGGTTGCAGAGTTAATGGGCACACTGGGGCTCGGGGACCTGTGCGGGCTGCTCTCTCCTGTGCCACCCAGGTGTGCTGGGACGGGCTGGGTAACGAGGAGCAAAGCTTCCTTTTGACACACCTTAGTTACATGAAAGATAATTCAGATGTTCCCTGTAAAACAAAACAAATGCTTCCCTTACCTCTGGGTTGGAAGGAAAAGACACAGACTGAGGAAGCAAAAGTATCTGCACAACATCTCTGGAGGTTACTTCTGTATTTGCTCTGCTTGTCTGTGAAGAAAAAAAGAAACACAAAGTCTTGTGGGTTAAAAGTATTTTAAGGGAAGGGGACGGGGAAAAGAAATCCCACAGAGTGAGACCCACACACTGTGTGATGTTTTACGTTCCCAACACATAGTGGCTCCTGCCCTTTTTGATAGCATGTGTTGGTTTCAGCACCCTTCCTTCTATCTTAATGCCTTCCACATAAGACACTAGTGACAACAGAGATCCTCAAGTCCTTGACAGGGTCACCAAAATTTAGCTGTCACCTAATTTTAGAAAGGGCTTTTCTTCTTTCAGCACGGGATGGCGATTAGCAGATGAGAATGGCACAGTGGGAAGGGATTTGTGTTCCAGCAGTCGGACTCTGACACGAGTGAGACCCTGCCCACGTGTGACAGATTCAGCATCTCTCAGTCCCGGGCTCCGCTGACCGGCCCCGCAGAAAGGCCGCGTCTCCACGCTCCATTAGCTTGTACCTGGGATAAACACGTGCTATTAATAGCCGTGCTGGGGAGTCACCCAGCATGCAGTACAGGATGAAATCATCCCGCTTTAAATGGGTTTCGTTGACTTTTCTGGGAGCGGAACCAAATCTTGGCTCCTGGCCCCAGACTCCCAGGGGCTGGTGCTGGCCCTGGAGCAGGTGCCACCACGGGCAACTCTCAACCAAGCACTGCTCTGCTCTGCCCTGTGGCATCCCACCTGGAATGCCTTCTCGTGGGCACAGGGACAGCGCTCTGCAGGGTGGGCTGGGGGGCACGGCTGCCACAGCTGCCCAGGGGACACCCTCACCCAGCCATCGTCCATCTGAGCTGGAGACACAACACCTCTCCACCTGCTTGAAGTGTACCCCATGTGTCAAGAGTTTTCCCTGCAGATACCGGCAAGGCAGCATCATTTTGGGATGGATATGAGGTTTCCTCTTTATTATACCAATACAAATTGGGAGTGACTACTCGAATCATTAGTCCCTGCGCCTCGACAAGATCCCACCTTCAGATTCAGTGTCTTTCTCATCATGAACAGCAGAGTTAGGGCCTCAACTTCAAATCTGTCGGATCCACCGAAACCCAAATATCAGGAATTTGCTGCTTGGCTTAGATTCTTCCTGGGGTAGTTCACCAGAGTGCACTCTGCCTTCTCGGCCAGTCGTACAGCTCTGGTGCTGTGCCATGGACAGCAGGGTTCCAGGCAAGGAGAACATCTTGGCTCAGACAGAGCCACTAAAAACACCTCAACATTCAAGTACCACAAATGCAGGGCATCCCACTGGAGAAAGGATATTTTTAAAAATAAAATATACTCTATTATCTGTCCAAAATCTGAATTCCTAACAAGGCTTTGCAATTCTAGCTCTTTCTCTGAACATGGTGTTCAGATGTTTCCAGGCATTATGGAGTGATCCTCATCATAAGGTGATCCAACAGGGCTACAATCACTGACCCGCTCACTGCAATGTTAGACCACAATTCTCATAGCAAAGGAGGAGGATGAGTGCAGGCAGTTCAAAGAAGAGCTTCGAGGAAGAAAGGATAATTCTAGAAATTAGCATTTAATTAAAGTATGAGAATTCATGGACTTCAGCTGAGGAACAGCCCCTTATGAGCATCTGTTTCACAGAGGGATGGTGGGTGCTGGCATTTTGGCGCAATGGAGTAAGTTTCTAAGCAGTTTCATTCTATCTGATCCTAGGTACTAAGACCTTATTTTGAAAAAAGCAAACCAATTCTATTTATTTTGATGACTGACCTTTTATGAAGCAAAAAGCCTCCTTGGGACCCTGTCGTGTCTTCAGTCAATGGAAGGGAAGGTGCTACTGCTGTACGGTGAAGTTGAAACAAACCAGCTTAGATAAATGTACAGCTGCTGCTGCCACACACCTGAGTGAACTACACAGTCTAAATTTCCCTACAACTCTGCTAATTCTTTGCAAAACCAGGAAAATGTTTTTTTCCTCCCTTAGAGGGTGGCTGTGAAGGTAATAAATACATCAAAGATGGTGAGGCTGCGGAAGGGGGATCTGTAAGTACCAAATGGAGCTAGAAACCAGGCCTACCAAAGTGCTCACGGGCAGGAAAAGGTGACACCAGTCCCCAGAGCCAAATAACCAACAAACCTCAAACACTGGTTCATCTGGATGTTCCCTGTGGGGAGGGAAAGCAGGGCCGGGCCATAGCAGGAGAGCAGCAGTCAGGAAGGCAGCACTAGTACAGCTGGTGGGGAGGTGCTGCTGGAGCCAAAGTTCTATAAAAATCATTATGTAGACTCAGAGATAATGAAAACCTCAAGAATATAGCACTTACTCAGCTGTGTGTTCTCCCTATGGGCTGTGAAAATCATACAAAGATTCAAATACTACAGTAAAATAGATCCAACTAGAGTCCTCTGTGGAAGCCTGTGTCCACTTCCAGAGAATTTCACGAAATAAGGCTTCTTTACGCCGAGCAACAGCAGCCATGTCTGCCCTACAGCTCCGCCTCTGCTTCCTCACGCTGCTTTATTCCCCTCTGAGGGGTGGTAGGAATGAAAACACAAAAGGAGGAAAAATCACCTGAAGGGCCCTAAGTGGTACCTGGGCTCCTGCACACCCCTGCTGGGGTACCCCCACCCCCTGGCAGCCCTGAGCCACAGGGGAGGCCGGCAGGAACTGCTGCCCTCCTGCCTCACCTCCCACCTCACTTCTGTCTTGTGTCTCACTGCACAGAGCAAAAAAGGAGCATGTTCTCCTAACCTTCTACCAGCTGCTGGCATCCCAACACCAGACACAGGAGCATTTATGAGAATCCAAAAAGCCACTGGAGGACCAAACCCACCTGAGCAGGGTACTAAGCTTCAGATAGTAACTCAGAGGGTCAGATTTTACTAGAGCCCAAGCGCTATGACTGCGGAACACACCACACGTGGTACCAGGCACCAGTTGCCAAATGCAATTCCAAAATGATGAAAAGAGGCAAAGAGCATCATATGCCCCAGGATCAGACTTCACTGGCTTTGCCAAAATGTCACTTCAAGGTCACCGTATTTGTTTATCTAAAGAGGTTTTGAGTGATTCAAGAGAGATCTCATCTGTCTTCCCTTTTGTAAGGTTTCTTTTCCCCCTGCCCTGGCTGAACCATGAGCACTTTTCTGATCTTGAAAGACAGTAACTTTGGGGATGTGCGTGTGCAGGGGATTTGGGGATGAAAGGTTCATGGCACCACAGCTGCTGCGAAAGAGCTGGGGATTCCGAGCATTTATTGTGAGAGCCATTCAAATTGCTGACCAAACAAATCATTAAAGGCTTTCAAGTTCATCTAAAATTATTTCCTATTATTTCATATTAAATTATTTCATCTCAATTTCCTGAACTTTAACTTGAATTATTTTTTTTTTATTTTAAAGCTTGTTCTTCCCAGAAAAAATATTTCATTGCTATGTTTTTATTTTTTGACTATTGAAAATCTCTTTTGGCAGGCCAGGAGATAACTTGAAGCAACTGCAAGGAAGAGAACGGAGTGAACAGCAGGGAAACAGTTTTTTGTAACATTGTTATACTACCCACTTTACTGAAAACTTGAGCCATTTCACACTGAAATCAATTTATACAGAACAAATCCCGTTATTACAGAACTGAAGAGCCAGTGGGACCCTGTCACACGTCAGCAGGTTCAGGAGCTCCCTCCTCGGCTGGTGAGGACATCAGGGGCCGATGGAGGAAAAGGGGATGGGACAACCTGGAAGCAGCACCTGTGCCAGCAGGTGGGTAATACAGAAATTAGGTGTTTCTCATCTTTTACCTTCAAAAATTTATTTTCTTGCTCATAATATTTTGTGACTAAAACAAGAAATTGCGAAAAGACTTCAAGTCTGTTAAGTAAGAGAAGGTAAAACAAAGCACGTAACTTTGGGTTGAAAGGAATGTCTCCTATTGACTGCAGTCTTTCATGGTTTTGTGTTCTGTCAAATCCTCCCTCAGTTTCTGTTTGGGTTGGAACTGAGCCTTTTCCTGCCCTGCTCCTTTCCCTGCGTGACAAAATCTGAATTCAGGCAGGTTGTTTAACAACTTGGCCAAGCCTAGAAGGCCATCGCTGGCCCACGGTTGCCGGGAAGAGCAGGAGGTGCGTGTCAGAGCAAAGGGATTCTTTCCATCCACGTCACTGTCGTTACATCACATGAAGAATCACCTCTCACTGGCAAAAGCCTCAGGCGCTGCCGAGGTGAGTCCTGGGGCTGCAGGGCTTGGAGCAGCCTGGGCTGGTGGGAGGTGTCCCTGCCCAGGGCAGGGGGTGGCACTGGATGGGCGGTAAGGTCCCTTCCAACCCAACCCATTCCATGGTTCTAATTTCATATGTGCTGGTACCACGAGTGGCAACACATTTATACACATGGGTGTTGTACATGGCATTACTCTTAGCATGAGGGAGGGGAACCAGGCCTGTTATTTACATGACACCCACAGACTGCAGGCCCCATTCCTGCCTGTCTTATTCCAATTAAACTCCAAAACTCCAAGATACAAGCAGGGTTTACCTAAAATTAGAATCAGCCCTTATGTAAGAATGTGAAAACCATGCCCGAGTAATGCATTTCTGTTTTCATGATGTAAACTCTCATCCCTCAAGCTGCTTGTGGGAAGTGGCAGCTTGTGCTCACACCTCTGCCCACCCAACGTGGCACACACGCTGCCTGCAGCTTGCAGGGCTCGGCTCTTTAAATACGTTCAGAAAGTCTTAAATGATATCAAAATCGAGGTTTCTGAGATTTACTTACGTGAAATAAGTTCTTCCTTCAAAATGTCAAGTTTGGCTTCTGTTCGGTCAATCAATTTGCTCTGTGTGAGCAAGGATAACGTACATAAAATTTATAAATAATTACGGTTTCATACAGAAATCAGGCAGCTCCTTTTCTCCTGCAGTAGAAACTTCACTCTAGCTCTGATCTCGACTTGCCTGCGCCTGTCCCTCTCCTGCGGCTGCGGATCCCTCAGCTCTCAGCTGTCTCTGCTCCGTCCCCTGGGGCCGTTCCGCCTTCATTCCCTGGGCAGCCCTGCCCCTGGCTGCGGGCAGGGACCCAGCGCTGGGCGCAGGAGCTCCATCCTCCCTGGGGGCAGCAGCTCACTGCTTTCTCTGGCTCTGCTCTCTCCTGTAACCCTATATATAGGGTCCCTCCCCCCTCGGCGGCTCTGCTCGCCCAGTCTCCTCCATTGTGTGTGTGCAGGTATTTCACGGGAGACATAATTACTCTGGCTCCTACGGGCTGAGACGAGCAGGGACAGGATTAAGTCCCTCCCGGGGCACAGCACCCCGAGTACCTTCCGAACAGCACGTGCGAGGAGGAGGATAATGACTGTAGGTGCTCGTTAGGTTAATGGTGAATAAAGCACAGGTGGTTTGCTGGGGAGCAAACAGAGCGCTCTGCTCAGTTCTGGGTGTGCTGGAGCAGGAAATGGGAAATAAACCGGAATTATTATGGGAAGATTCTCACGTGAGCAGAATTTGGAAAGAATGAGAGCGTGACGTTTAGTAGAAAGGAACCGGAGGGGCACAAAGCTAAAATAAAGGAATACAGAGAGAAAATACATCAGACAGCTGGTTTCTGATTTTTCTCGCGTTCTGTGAGCCCAAGGGCACGGTGGACACACCAAAAGGCTGCAGCAGCCACAAAATCCACAGTGAACATGCGGAATGTTCCTTCCAGGCAACAGGTAAATGTAAAATAAGAAACCCACAGCTGCCCTGGGTAATGTGGGATTGCTTTCCTTGCTCACCTTTGGTGGCCATGACCAAGGGAGCTGTTTCCCTGCAGCACCGAGGGCTGGTGCCACCGCAGGGTTCTCCGTGCCATCCCCTGGAGCGCGTTGAGGGCGCGTTGAGGGCCGACCCACGGGGCTGTTAGGAAGGAGTGTGATTTAGTTGGGCAATTGGTCCGTGCCCCAGCCTGCCCCGCCAGCAGGAGAAGCCAGAGGGACTGGCTGACCTCTCCGAGCAGGACTTGGTCTTCCTCCTCACGGAGCATCTCCCTGCGTGGCACAGAGGGGTGCCGGGGCATGCCAACCTCAGCAGCACCTTGCCCGGGGAGGGGAAGGACCCAGCGTGGGTGAAGGGGGGTGAAGGATGAATAGAGCTGCCAGTGACTGGCTAATTGAGGGCTTGCCAACGCTCTGACAAATGAGCATGTAAGAAAAAAATATCAGCTGGGGCCCCGAGGAGCACGGTTCAGACGTAATCATTCATCTCACACATAGATCAGTCTGAATTTCTGTGGGGCGGTGAAACTCCTCACCACAGTCGGTTTTAGGGGAAAACCAGCCACGAAACGTCTTGAAAGCACCCACAGCCCACTCCTCCCCAATGCATTTATTTTGCTCTCACATCCAGCACAGTCAGAGCTGCTGTGCAGCTGCATGTTCTAAGCCAACATTCATTTTTCCTCAATAAACACTCAATATCCACAATAAAACCACGCACACAGAAACACAGAGTGCCAGCATTTAGCAATCCTTATACCTGGTGCATTAGGAGGAATAAATAAAACCTTAAAGGCAGTGAACACACCCGCAGCAGGCCACTGCAGCTTGATATGAACAATTTACCTTTTCTAGTACACTTTTAAAGCTGTCACAACGCCTTGGCACGGCAGCATTACCTGGCTGTGATGAGTGGCAGGCTGGTCCCCATGTGCCTGTTTGCTGTGTGACCCCACAGCCACCAGAGCTTGTTACATGGAGGGTCACCTCTGGACAACCTCTCACCAACTGAGAGAGCTGGGGGGGGTCAGCCTGGAGATGTGTGCCTGTTAGCTGTGTGACCTCACAGCCACCAGAGCTTGTTACAGGAAAGAGTCACCTCCGGACAACCTCTCACCAACTGAGAAAGCTGGGGGGTTCAGCCTGGAGAAGAGAAGGCTCCGGGGAGACCTTAAAGCCTCTTCCAGTCCCTCAAGGGGCTCCAGGAAAGCTGGGGAAGGACTCTGGATCAGGGAGGGGAGCCCTAGGAGGAGGGAGAAGGGTTTGACCCTGAAAGAGGGGAGATTGAGATGAGATGTGGGGAAGAACTTGTTTGGTGTGAGGGTGGTGAGAGCCTGGCCCAGGTTGCCCAGAGAAGCTGTGGCTGCCCCATCCCTGGAGGGGTTCAAGGGCAGGTTGGAGGGGGCTTGGAGCAACCTGGTGTGGTGGGAGGTGTCCCTGCCCAGGGCAGGGGGTGGCACTGGGGGGGCTTTAAGGTCCCTTCCAACCCAAACCATTCTGTGATTCTATGATTTAATACAGCAGTAAACCAAACAAGAATGTTGGTGGTTTTTTTTTTTTTAATTTGGATTCTTCCTCTTCTTTTATAAATCACTCAAGGAATAGCATAAATGTTTCCTGTTTCTAAGAACAGCGAAATTAAGGTAGTAAGAGGCCAAGTATCAGTCAGAGTGCCTGCCAAGAGGAAGAAGGCTCCTGCAGGACACGTGCCAACACTCCTCGCTCCAGCCGTGCCCGGTCCCAGGGCTCTTCAGGAAGATTCTTCCTCTTCTTTTATAAATCACTCAAGGAATAGCATAAATGTTTCCTGTTTCTAAGAACAGCGAAATTAAGGTAGTAAGAGGCCAAGTATCAGTCAGAGTGCCTGCCAAGAGGAAGAAGGCTCCTGCAGGACACGTGCCAACACTCCTCGCTCCAGCCGTGCCCGGTCCCAGGGCTCTTCAGGAAACGCTCTGGGCAGTGACAGCCCGTACACAGGGACCCCCGTGGGCTCCCCCCGCGCTGGGAGCAGCCCCCACCCTGCACATCTGCACGGGGTTATTTTTCCTCATTTCCTTTACCCAGCCCCGACCCCCTGCTCCCAGCCGCCCGGCGATGCCGCCCCGTGGCAGCCTTTATTTCAGATAATCCTTCACGTGAGCAATCATCAATAACTGCTGACCTACTCCCTGGAAGACGCAGATCAATTGACAGATTATTATAACCCCTTAAAATATTAATGCCCTATCAGGGAGACAATTTCACCGGGCCCAGAGACTCTTCCATTATTAGAAATTATGCCCCAGCCTTAAATAAATTAACTCAATAAATGTCTTACCATGAATACAAATTCCTGCTTAGGGCTTGCAAATAAAATGATTTAGAGCTGTTCTCTGAGGAAAGATGAGGTGTTTAAACTTGCAAAAGGAGGAAGGGCTACCATATTCATTAGTCTTTTGTTTTTAAATGGACTCCTTTCTTTACACTGAAGGCATCCCTTTTGGAAGGGAGGGGGAAATCTTTATGAAGTTGTTACATTCTCTTACACTGGGCTGCACAGTTTCAATTCTGCAAACACACCCATCTCTGCTCAACACCAAAGGCAGCTCTGGGCCAAGAGCACACCAGCCTCGGCAGGGGCTGCCCAGCACCATCAGCACCACGTCCCTGTGGGGCACAGGGGCACAAAGGACAACAGGAGCGGGCCGGTGTCCCCAGCCAGCAGCACGGCACGGCTGGCTGCCTGCTGTCACTGCTGGCAGCCTGGGCACAGGCCACCAGCTCCCAGAAACCACATCTGGATCCCCAAGGCTGGAGGGAGCCACTCTGCCATCACCCCCAGGATGAATTTTGGCAGAGAGGAGCTCTTTTTGCCAGGCTGGATGGGGCTCTGAGGAACTGGGTCCAGTGGGAGGTGTCCCTACCCATGGCAGGGGGTTGGACCTAGATGTCCTTTAAGGTCCCTCCCAACCCAAACTATTCTATGATCCTATGACTTTACTGGCCTCCTGCAGCCGTGACCACGTCCTGCTGGCACTGGGGGGGCACCTGGACTCCCCAGCAGTGGAAGCTGAGCCAGAACTTCCCACCAGCAGCAGCTGCTAACCCGGGGTGCAACACAACCTTTGCCAAGAAATGCCACGCAGGGGTGTCTGCCCCGGGGAGACGCCGGGAGCTGCTCCCAGGGCACAGAGTCTGGCCTCCTGCAGCCATGACCACGTCCTGCTGGCATTGGGGGGGCAGCTGGACTTCCCAGCAGTGGCAGCTGAGCCAGAACTTCCCACCAGCAGCAGCTGCTAACCCGGGGTGCAACACAACCTTTGCCAAGAAATGCCACGCAGGGGTGTCTGCCCCGGGGAGACGCCGGGAGCTGCTCCCAGGGCACAGAGTGCAGCCCCAGCCTCTCAAACCTGAAAAACTGCTTTTACACTGCAGCCAGCTCAGGTGGCCATTACCTACCCAGGGTTAGATAACACAACAAACATTTAGTGTAACAGTTTCTGTTAATGCTGAGAAATAGATGCCAGGCTGGAGACCACTCTGCTTCTGTTTTCTCACCTGGCCTCAGGTCACCTGAGCTTCAGCCAAGACCAGAGGACTTTAAAACCATGAGGTTTGACGTGACACGGCTTCATTCAGCAGGAGTCACTCAGCCTCAACCCACCATCTTCTACTTACACACACCCAAAGACCCCACAGTTCACAGAGCGCCTGTCAATAAAGCTTCAGCCTTAGCAGTGTTTGTGGCTTCAACAAAACATAAGCAGCACAAGCCCATTAATCATCCCAACCTCCTGTCAAAGCTTTTGCCCTCTTCCTATCGATGAATCGACTGCCGCAACGTGAAGGCCCCACTGTCAGATTTAATTACAGCTGCATTTCACACCGAAGGCCCCTCATGTTTCAAGAAGAATATTACAGCTCTGCGTCCTTTTACGAATCTGAGCTGGCAAGATGGACATGGAGCATCACCTGAGTAACACCTTGGCTCTCCATTGTGCACACTCCCTCCATTTGCATTTTTGGCCACTTTTTTTGGAGAAATTGCACACACACATTGCCTTTTCTGGGCACTGTTCCACTACCTCCAATGCATCATTGAGAAACTGATCTTCTCAGGTGAACACAGCCTGGTTTGCTCTACCTGTCCCATCCTTAGGGACAGGAACACACACAGCCTTTTCTGTGCACTGTTGCACTGCCTCCAATGCATCACTTGAGAAACTGATCTTCTCAGGTGAGCACAGCCTGGTTTGCTCTACCTGTCCCATCCTTAGGGACAGGACAGCCCCGGGCAGGCAGTCTGCAACCTGAGGAGATGTGCAGGTAGCCCCCCGTGGCTTGGTCAGCTGCCTGTAGCGGCTGCCAGGTGTCACCACCTGCCTATGGGACATCCAGAGCCACGTCCCACCGCAGAGAGGGGCACACCCCGAGCTGTGCTGCAGCAAAGGACAAGCACCACATTTCCCCAAAGGACATGCCTTGGCTCAAAACACAGTGTAAAGACACACATTCCTAAGACATGCAGGTAAACAGATGCTTTGGGGGATAATAATTAACAGGGAGAAGACGGGGAAGACAAAGCCTCTGTCTTTTCTTTGTGCTCAGGTATCGATTTGATGAGATTCTGATTTTTGATAAGCAAAGTACTATCTGCTGGTTAAGAGCTCACGTGACTTTCCCTGGTCCTGGCTTAAGATCAAGCATGCCTCGAAAACGGATGCAATGTTTCCAGTTCTTACATGAACAGTTCCATCCCAGACTGCAGGATACACAAAGATGACAAGTCAGGATGAAAAAAATAGCCCCCCTGATTCCAGCAGACTGAATCAGAAAGGTTTGTAAACGAGACCACAGATTCAACTCCCTTGTTTTGCCTCAGAGAGCAATTCCATCAAAAGCCACCCACAGAGACACAGACACAGGGAATGTTGCGAGCGGATCAGGGCCTTGGCAGCAGCCGCCTCCTCCGCGTCTCTGCTTCCTTGCGCTGACTTGGCCCTTGTACCTGTTGTGTCCCCAGCTGAGGCACCAGCGCTGCCGGGCTGGTCACACGGGGCTTACACAAGTGAGACATGGAGAGAAAGGGGGTGTGTGGGCACGGAGAGGGGGTGCAGCCTGCTTGGGGCTGGGGGGGAGGCAAGCAGAGAGGGGAGCAGCTCCCCTTTTCTCTTCCTCCCACCCTCACCAAGGCCCCCATCCCCAGCACTGGGAGCCCACCGCTGTGCCCGTGCTGCCACGGGGCCTTTGGGCACCCACCAGCACCACTTCCCACCCCCTGCTCCCACCTCAGAAACACCCCCCCTGCCTCAGTGCCCCCACACACCTCGCATGGAGCAGGGGTAGGCAGGTACCAGCTGCAGCTGCCCCCCACACGAGCCACCCCACGTGCTGGCCCCAGCCATGGACAGCCCACGCAGACAGCACCACCAACCAGCTACATCACACTTAGGGCCACTTAGCTTTTAAGGTAACGAGGGGAAAAAAAAAAAAAGAAAAAAAAAAGAAAAAAAATCTATCTGTAGTAATAATGTTTCAAAGCAATTTGGCAAAAAGCAAGGTTACATCAGTGACCTCCCAGCTCTGCGCAGCTGGTTGCAGCCTGGTGGCTTCTTGGGATCGTGGCACTTGTGCCACTTGTGGTGGCCACCCCCTCCGAGCCCCTGTGGCCACCTCCCTCCCACCCCTGGCACCTGTGGCTCCCCGCTCTGTCTCCAGCCCCTGCCAGGCTCTGCTCCGCCGTGGTGCAGCCGGCGATGATCCTCACCGAGGCCTTGGGAGATTATTCCTTAATAGGCTGGTCCGGGCGCTCACAGAAGACAGCGGAAGGGAGGGATGTGTTATCAGCTCTGATCTGGCATCACAGCGTGTTTGCTGCTCGGGCTCTGCCTCCCAAAAGCAGAATTAATTGCTGGGTTAGAAAACACAGATAAATCAATCAGCTCATACCACGTTTATTTTCTGCAGCTACGCGCTGGGCTCCTGGCAGCTTCAAACAGCAGTGACACCCACTGTTGCTACAGGGAGAGATAAAGATCGGGCTCTTGCCAAAGGCTACCTGCAGAAAGGAGAGGTTGCCCCCACCCTGCAGGCAGGGCCAGGTGGTGGCACAGCTACAGCAGTGACCTGGAGCCAGACACCACCCCACCAGCAGCATTTCTGCCCCGTTTCAGCATTTAAGGCAACTGTCAATGCAGACCCATTGCAAAGCTTATCTTTCTAGCTTTGCTAAACTAAACGCCTGAAAGACAGGATAGAAAGAGGAGGCAGAAAACTGATACTGTGAGAAAATGTCATTTTCTACTGTAGACTTATTTATAGCAAACTCTGTGGCTTGACGACGGTGTCTACAGCAACAAAGAAAATAAAACACTTGGTCCTTACCAGCGTGCTCTTTTTAGGTGGAATAATAAAGCAAACACAAACCTGAAACCAGACTCTCCAGGAACCATGTTCTGGTAGGTGCTTTCCCACCCAGGGCTCTGGTCCCTGGCTGTGCCCCCCAGCCCTGCCCGTGATGCAGGTCAGCCATGACCATTGTCCAAGGCCTTTTGCCAGGTGTAAATCCAGGTGGTGACCCTTTCTTCTCACTTCCCTTCACCACCTCTCTGATGTGAGCAGAGCAGGACACACCAACACCCTCAGCTCCTGTCCCTACATCACCTCTGCTCTGCAGTTTCCTCCTGCACTGGGAAAGGGACTTTAATGCAGAAGGTACCTGCCACCAGCTCAGAAAACCAAAGGGCTGAGAGATGTAATTAGCATGGCTATATTTTTTCTTATTAATTACATGACAGCATTTTTGTCTCCCCGCCTTCTAATGTGTTCTTAATTGATTAACTAGAAAACAAGCAAACAGACAGCTCTTTTCTCCCTGTGCCTCAAATACCCACGCTGCACCCCAACACATGGTGGGACAGAGACATCCTCCAGGAAAAGAATGGGGTAGAGGAGGGAGGTGAGCTGCTGAGCGGTGTCAGAGGTTAGAGTGAGCCTCTGTGAAAAGGTCCATCATTGCTCCATGCCTTAGTTACCCACCTGAAAAATGAAGATAATAGCTGCTCACACTGTCTGCCAGGGACCTCTAGAGACTGGCGTGAGCCCAGGCTGCCCGTGGACGCTGCCCCCAGCAGCAAGGCATCCTACTCCAAACCACCATTTATGTGTCACAGAAGCAACAGGTGACATTTCACCTCTTACCCTGTATTTAAAACCCTTGCAATATGTGAATGCTTTATGAACCACCAGTGAATGGTGACACAGGGTACCCAGGTGGTGGGACAGCTGCCTGACAGCATGGTTTCCTCAGCCGATGTGTCCCCAAGAGCAGCCCAACACCCTTGGGCTGCCCTGAGCCAACCTCACAGCAGCCTGGTGTCCAGCACCCTGCAAAACCTCACCCAGGGCTGGCAGTTATCCACAGCCAGGCAGCTGTTCACTCTAACACACATTTCAGGTTCCAGCTGCCCTTTGAAAAACAAGCAACACTAACAACAAATTCTCTGTCACCAACAGTGTCTTGTTCTTAACAGGTCTAGCATGTCAATACTGCTGACACTGACACCAAAAAACACATTTCAATTAGGACCAAAAATTCTGGACTGGTACCAGGCGTGTTCTTCCCAATCTGAAAACCCACTTCATTATTTCTATTATGACATTGCCCGTTACAACCTGAAAACGTTATTTTATCTGTGTGCACATCAGCACCCAAGGTTCGTGCCTAGATTCTTGTACAGCTTTCTAACTTCACTTTAAAACAAAGAATATGCTTAAAAAGTAAAAAAAAAAAAAAAAAAAAAAGGTCAGTGTAACCTCTTGTCAGATACAAGAATGAGTTTGGGAACAGACAATTAATTGGACACTCAGTTTCAGAAGCACAACATTTCGTTATTATCTCAGATTAATGCACAATTGTGGTTTAATCTTTGGCCAAAACTCTTACCTAATGTGATGTCATTCCTTTCTGCTCCTTAACTTATTAAATACATATTTCTTCCATATAAGTGACTTCAGCTGTCAGAAGCCAGGCAGATATTTGAACTGGCACTAGATTAGGATCTATTGCAAAGTATTGCTTATTTTTGTATTAATAGGATGAAATACACTCTGAGACAGCAGATCAGATCAAGATGTACTTATCAGCCACGCTGCTGTAACTACTAGTTTCTGGTTTGTATGTTCATGAAAAGGAAAGTTACCTCTATTGGTAGTGCATGGTTTATGGAACTGTTCTGACCATCACAAACAGAAAAGCACCTTAATTAAGAGACTTGGTTTTTTGAAAGTAAGAATTTTCCCCCTTAAAGGACCTCAGTCTAAATTGTTGTATTATTTTCTTTCAAGGGGAGTGAAGGGGAAATAATTTTTAATCCCTTAAAGGACCTCAGTCTAAATTTTTGTATTGTTTTCTTTCAAGGGGAGTGGAGGGGAAATACTTTTGAAGAAATATCAAAATACTTGGATGAACATTTTAATTGCTACACGAATGCTTTATGCTTCCCTCCAAACAAGATGGCACTTACCAGTGGGATTCATGCCCGCTGAGGCACAGCAGTGTCACGGGAGCAGCCGTACAGCCTCGGGGAGGTGACGTTGCAGCAGGGACCCCTCAGCACCTCTGTGCATCTTCTGGAGTACAACACACCCCATGCAAAACCTTCTGCTTTTCCATTGTGTCCCAAACAGTCACAGAGAGCTGATATGGACACACTCCGGTGTTTTGCTTCCGAAGTGGCTGCATGTTGGTTATAGGAAGACACTTTATATTACTAATTTCACTGTCATTTTTGAGCTGAGGAGTCCTGGATAGCAGAAGACATGAGATTAACGTTATCCATAGGAAGAGTATCAACGCTCACTACCAGCAGGTGAGTAAGAGCAGACAAATGTCCTACCTGAAGCTCTCACTGTCTGTCACTCACCACGTCCCATCCCGCTCAGAGGAGCTCTGGCACAGCGGGCACAGGAACTGCTCCTTGGCACAAAGTCACTCAGGCACACGCCTGGCAGCTGCCCAGGGCCCAGGCACACGCACGTCCCCCGTCCCCACTGGAAACGACATCTCTGACAAGCTTACTCACAGAGCACTGAAATGATTTCCAAGATTAATTTCCAAGGGACAAGCAATTCTGCTCTTGGGGGAAACAAAATGAGGTGGGAAAATCACCTTGAGGTTTGCGTGGGTTTAGCTGCCCATGCAAATATTTACATATATATATATATATATTAAAAAAAGTATTATTTAGCTTATAGAATAGCAGTGGTAGGTTTCCCACCAGAAAGGCAGCTCTCGTCACCTACAACAGGTTGAGGTTTAGCAGTCTTAAAAAATGCCTCTGCAATAGCTGATGCACTGCAGAAACATATTTTGTGTTTAAAAATAGTCTCGACTGTTGTTAGAAAGGATTAAGCAATTTTTTTTTTCCCCCTTTATCAGCACAAGAGAGCAACGCGGGCAAAGTAAAAGGGTAACTGCTGTTACGCTGTGAATGAGGAAATACTGTTTTATCTAATTTACTGCAGCCTGAGGTGAAACATTAACTTTGCTTTGAATTATGATGGGATATAAAATAGCCTGAACAAAAACATTGCTTGGCTTTCTTTTCAGGGCATGAACTCAGAGGTCTTCAAAACTGAGTTTCAGCAGTATCACCTTTCGTTTTATTGAAGTATTCACTGAAATGTTTACCTTTGGAGTAGATTATTTTAAACACTGCAGAAATAAGGAAAAGGAGAGAAATTTCATACGATGGCGGTTTCCCAAAAGACTATGAAAATATTTTAATGGATAAAAAGAAATAATCGCAAACTTACCTTCAGTTTTGCATTTCAAAAGAATAGAAAATGGTCTTGGTAGGTTTACCACCAGAAAGGCAGCTCTTGTCACCTACAACAGGTTGAGGTTTAGCAGTCTTAAAAAATGCCTCTGCAATAGACAATGCACTGCAGAAACATATTTTGTGTTTAAAAATAGTCTCGACTGTTGTTAGAAAGGATTAAGCAATTTTTTTCCCCCTTTATCAGCACAAGAGAGCAACGCGGGCAAAGTAAAAGGGTAACTGCTGTTACGCTGTGAATGAGGAAATACTGTTTTATCTAATTTACTGCAGCCTGAGGTGAAACATTAACTTTGCTTTGAATTATGATGGGATATAAAATAGCCTGAACAAAAACATTGCTTGGCTTTCTTTTCAGGGCATGAACTCAGAGGTCTTCAAAACTGAGTTTCAGCAGTATCACCTTTCGTTTTATTGAAGTATTCACTGAAATGTTTACCTTTGGAGTAGATTATTTTAAACACTGCAGAAATAAGGAAAAGGAGAGAAATTTCATACGATGGCGGTTTCCCAAAAGACTATGAAAATATTTTAATGGATAAAAAGAAATAATCGCAAACTTACCTTCAGTTTTGCATTTCAAAAGAATAGAAAATGGTCTTAAGAGCATTTGAATAGTTCAGGAGGTGTTACCTGCAGAGTCCCCTGCTCCTTCTGCGTGACAGGGCTGGCGTGGGCTTCCCACAGGCGCTGGGTCGGAGCCAGACCGATGCTCCTGGTGTACCTGGGATAAAGCTGGCTCCAGGCCACTCCTCCTCAGGGTCATTCTGCATCTTTAAAATTTGTCAGGAATCTGTACAGCAGGGAGTGCACACACACAAAAGCAGAGTGCCAAAAAGGAGGAAGAAATCCAACATTTTCGCTCATGTGATTATTTACAGTTTATGTTTGTTACAGTATATAGTGCCTCCAGCCCTGGCACAAATAACAAGTTCCTGTTACCCAAAAATCATCGAAACACTTGTGAGCTGATGGAGAACATGACCTTTGGTATGATACTGATCTGACAGTGAGAAAATGTCTGGTGTCCTTAAAAGCCCTATAG